GTTTGGCCACCCGTGCCCCCTCATAACACTGGAAGGAAGCAGGACCTTGATATAATGTAACAAAATGCATAGCATGATGTGTTTTGGGCTTTTCGTGGCTTTTACACAATGCTGCAAGTGCATGTAACACCACGGTCACGTGTGACGCACATCGCGGACATGATGTATAAAATATAAGGTATAACCTGTATTATTCTCCTTTCGGAACTGCTCGATTACGCTCGTTTTCGAGATACAGAAATCGGATACGCAGAATGTTTCACTCGTCCGTACGAGATTTTAGGAGCCTCCATGCTGAATGGCTGATTGGAAAGTTCAAATGGCGTGAACTTCTTTTAAGGGTTTATTTGAGGGAGAGAGTATCGAATTAAAATTAATTAAAATATCGGAATTAAATCAGACTGGAGGCAGCTGAAAGCGACGTGCAACTACGCTCACTCACTCACTCACTCACTCACTCACTCAAGAATTGCAACCCGTGAAGATCCGGGTTACGATTGTCAGGCGACTTTGCTTATCGTAAGAGGCGACTAACGGGATCGGGTGATCAGACTCGCTGACTTGGTTGATGCATGTCATCGTATCCTAATTGCGTAGATCGATGCTCATGATATTATTCACTGGATTGTCTGATCTAGACTTGATTATATACAGACCGGCGTCATATAGCTGAAATATTGCTGAATGCTGCTTTAAACAACAAACAAACAAGAATTGCACTTGCGACAGATCGCTCAATGAACAGTGTTGAGCCACCCAACATATAACGCTATCAGTGGTCTCAATTCACCCCCCGCTTTATCCCCGATTCCCGGGAGTGATTCGTGCGTCAGTCAGGATAATAACATGAAATTGACATGCCATTCTTCGTGTCTCTCCCCGAAGAGGATGACGTCCTGATGTACAGCACTAAAGGTCACATCCTCCACCAACAGCTACAGACATTATACTGAGAAGCGGGCTTATGTCGACCTAACAGCGTTCTTGATCACTCGTGTCACCTCGAGAAAAGCCGTGAAGCATTATGGCTTGTAGAAAACGTATTGAAGGAATAATATTTGGATATGACTTTGTTGATTGCTTGACGACAGTCAACTCAATCAACTCATCAGACACTGAGTCATCACGAATAGTTAGATTTGTAAAACGATTTCAGGCTGATTTCTCCACAAACTTTCGCCATTCAAATCATTTTGCACCAAGACCACACGGCTTTTACGCGAGACAAGATGTTCTTACGTAATCTGAGGCAAATGTGCAAGCTTCTGGAAAACTTGATCTCAGAGCAAATATTTAAGAAAAACATAGTTTCGTTTATTTGAACAATACCACACTGTTCCTTGAAATCACTATCTTTGTAAGAAGAAGTATAAAACACCTCCACAAAGACCTGGCGGTGTGCCATTCTCCTGTGCACTAAGACAACCGACACATGTCTGGCGTTGGTCGCTGAGCCAAAGGTGGCAAGTGTCGGATTAAACAAACTGTTTTTTAATTTCAAACAGCGTTACAATTTACGTGTGCATGTCACGCGAACTAAGAGGTGATGATACAGTTTTGTCCTAGTTCGACCAATAACCAATTAGCTGTGCTGGGAATAATGTCTCCTTGAGTCAGAGCTGTTTAGGCTGTGGCCTGGTGGCTTCAGGTTTTCGTACAGAAGAGAAGGCGCAAAACTAAACATTTTCTTCTTGATGATACCAGAGACCATATATTATTACTTGCCCGTGAAGAGATCACCCGTTTAATAAACATACAGCTTTATTACACATTGTGTAATACCAAAACGCGTGCTTATGTACTCTCGGAACACGTTTCACGAACAAATATTGAAAGCTCCCAACATCCCTTGGCGTATTCAACGACATTGTGTGTGGAGATGATAGATCACTGGGAGGAGCTTATGCACACTCGATGACCCCAGCAACCTTGTTGCTAGGCTGACGTCACATTGCTTTGACTCGCCGATGGATCTTGCAACAAAATTCCACAAATTACGTCATCGGGTATTGTGACGTCATTGTAAACTTTGAGCTGCAAGGCCCCGTTCCACAAGGCGATCGTACTCTAGCGCAACGAGAGTCTTTAGTCTAAGTTAAATTATGTGAGTTGTGATAGCCTTAGCACTACGATAATTTTGTGGGACGAACGCCTGAATTCTAAAGGTGGACCATTATATAATATATGATATTAAATTCATACGTTTCAACTTTTGACGTGTTTGAAGTATTATTCTGTTAAACTCAATTGGATTATGCCATGGATCGTGTAGGCGTCAGCCTATTTACACTGAACAGTATAATTCTAAAAAACATTATAAATGACAAGTAATAAATAAAATACTAAACTCGCTCTCGTGTAAAACCAATTTTATGAAACTCGTGAATAGTTGTGGTATCTGACTCGCTTTCGCTCGTCAGATACCAGAACTATTCACTCGTTTCATAAAATTGGTATTACACGGGAGCTCGTTTAGTATTCTATATATAGATTATATGGTCTCTGATGATACAAGTGAAACATGATGAACGTGTTCAGTGTTTTTTTTTTAATTTTAAATAAACTGCCATGCAAGAGAAAGTACACGTCCATGTTTTGATGGCGGCTAAAAATGAAACTGATACTTGATACGGCTATCAAAGTATTTTTGATCTTAAGTTTGCAGAGTTTCGGAGACTGTTTTCAGCCTAGTAACGTTTTGATAACGTTTGTATATTATTTTTTGTCAAATACAATTTTCAAATTATGCTTTCTTTTACGCTGATGGAAGAAAGTATCTTGTATTTGGTGTGTGGGTGCGTGCGTGCGTGCGTGGGTGCGTGCACGCGCATGTGTACGTGTGACCCCTAAATAGTCAACTTGTTACCAGAGTTTTTCATCGTCTCAGAAACTTACAATATTGCAACACACATCAACCGGTAGACAATTGCTTAATGGTCTTGTTTACCTCCAAAACATGTCGCGATCAGATAAGGATTTCACGGTGTTCGACTTCTGATTGCAGTCGTTATAAAGACCCCGCTATGGACTGACGCAGTCATTGTAACACAGCGTTAACTCGTCTATACACTGCAACAAACGTCGCTATAATAATTTCCACGTGGGTGAAAGATAATATCTGTCTTCACAGCGGACATGAAAGAAACAAAACAGATTGACATGAACATATCACGCTCTGGAAGGAATCAACACATGTGACCTGTTATTCATATTGGATACTTTAACATGGAGCAAAACAAAAAGTGTAAAGTGTGCAAATTTAAAATGAAACGAAACGAAAAAATATTATTTTTATTATAAAAATAATAATTATTATTATTGTTGTTGTTGTTACTTACTTACTTAAAGTAAAGCTGAACAATTGAATTACTGTTCAAATATTCGAATACTGTGTCCATACGTTGCTCTATAACGGCATGGCCATTGCTACTTGTCTATTGGTCTTATGGTCACCAACACGTATTAAATCCCCCCTGTTAATAATTTTGATATATAAAATTGTTGTCTTGCCTATGAAAGATAAAATATTAATAAAAGAAATTATATGAAACATTAAAATGACAAAGGATTAATAACAAGTTTTATCTCAAAATGAATGGCCTTATATACCTGACAAGTACTGCGAATACCTGAGTTCCACAATCACTGTACACCAGATGGACTCTTTCTGCCTTTGATACGATGGTAATCCTTATCTGTTATTGAATGTGTAAACAATACAATGCAAATACAACATCTACGACTTGATAGTAGTTTTTTAATTCCTATTTACGCGGAGACAACGACTGTTACTGTTTTTTCTACTCGATCGGCAAACACAAACATCGTCGACTTCAATAGCCCAGCTCGACACCTTTTCTTTATACTACTACTACTACTACTACTACTGCTACTGCTGCTGGTGCTACTACTACTACTGCTGCTGCTTCTTGTGCTGGTGGGGGCGGTCGGGTAGCCTAGTGGTTAAAGCGTTCGCTCGTCACGCCGAAGACCCGGGTTCGATTCCCGACATGGGTACAATGTGTGAAGCCCATTTCTGGTGTCCCCCGCCGTGATATTGCTGGAATATTGCTAAAAGCGGCGTAAAACCAAACTCACTCACTCACTCTTGTGCTGGTGCTACTACTACTACTACTACTACTACTAAGGGCGGTGGGATAGCCTAGTGATTAAAGACCCGGGTTCAATTCCCGACATGGGTACAATATGTGAAGCCCATTTCTGGTGTCGCCCGCCGTGATATTGCTGGAATATTGCTAAAAGCGGGGTAGGTCTATACCCATTCACAACTAAGTTGTCCGGCAAAAGAAAGTATACACTTGAAAACTGGATTTGACAAACATTACTTGACCGAAAACAGTCTCCGAAACACAGCAAACTTAAGATCCCAAACACAACTATACAGCATACACATCTCCATCGAATAACCATTTCTTGTTTGTTTCATTTGTAGCCACCATCAAACATGGGTCTATACCTTCTGTTGCCTGGCAGTTTCCTTCTACTACTACTACTACTACTACTACTACTACTATTACTACTACTACTACTACTACTACTACTACTTCATATAGCTGGAATATTGCTGAGTGCGGCGTTAAACAACAAACAAGCAAACTACTACTACTACTATTACTACTACTACTTCATATAGCTGGAATATTTCTGAGTGCGGTGTTAAACAACAAACAAACAAACAAGCAAACTACTACTACTACTACTACTACTACTACTACGACCAGTATTTACATGCACAACACACTCATTAAACTTAATTATCCCCCAAACAAACTCATTGAAATAAAACATATAATAACCGAAAATGAATAATTTGGTCCAAACTCTAGTTAAAGGTGAACTGATCGGATTAACGGCTTTCCAGTTTACAATACGAAGATATAATACAAAATGTCTAAAACCGCCATTGCTACACAATAAGCTGGGATACAGCTAATGATGATGCGTACAAAATAATTAATTTAAAAGTTTGTCCACGTTACCTTCAACACGTCAGCCGCCTGCTGAACACTTTGCAATTGTACGGCGAGTGGGTGGCGCCTCTCTTGCTGGCATGAATTGATCATATGGGGACCAGAGTCATAAACTGACGGTGCTGACCACTGGAGGCGGACTGGCCAGGTAGCGTCCATCTGACCACCTATAAGCTGTTGGACGTCTGCGTGTTCTCTGTAGGGATCGGTGGGAGCTTTGTGGGAGCCCTTGTTGACTTGTGTCTGTTTAGCTTGATTGATTGCAGGGGTCACCTGTGTTACTGTGAGCAGATACACTTGTCAATATCGATATTGTGTCAAAACCATTGTCGATGTAATTAGTTCATTGACGTCTGTTTTTCTACACCCAGTGACGATTCCGCGGCCACAGGTCTCCATAATCTTTTTTTCGCAAGAGCTGACCAATGAGGTGAGGTAAAATGTCGCGTTAAAAAATATTGCATTTTTATACGATGTGTGTGCCGATTTTATAGTGCCAGCCCACTCAGATACCAACCAGGCCTTGTTTTATCCCCTTAAGGCCGAGCGCCAGGTAGGGTAACAACAAGTACCATCTTTTAACGACTTTTTGTATGGGGATCGAACCACCAACCTTCGGCTCTTCGGGTGGATGCTCTACCAATAGACCACGGAGGCGGTCGATCGTGTTCGTGGGTTTCACCAAAGTGGTCAACGTGTAAGACTGGATGCTGACATGAATGCTAATGCTGGATGAAGTTGTTACAAGATGTGACCTTGTTCATCATGCTGTCAGCCACTGGTTTGCCTGACCCAGGGACGATTGTATCACGACTGCCTGATACTTGTTTAAGGATAAGACGGATTTGGTTGCAATGTGTGATTATGTGTTAACATAACAAACGACGTACAGAGTTGCTCATGCTATCAACCACTGTTTACAACCAACGTAGATATACCGTATTCGACGTAATAAGCGCCCCGTTCTAATAAGCGGCCATGGCGGTATTTGCATATATATTGGCCAGTGAACAATCCTAATTTTAGCCCCTTCCGATTGATCAATGTACAAAAGATTTATTTATTCGCGTATAATACGCACTCGTGTGTTATATGCACACTTAATTATGGGCAATTACATTCTGGAAAAATATATCTGTCGTACATAAACATTTCAGGCTGTCAGCATAAACCACGAAATTTATCTTTTATTTTTCACTAAAATAATATTCCAATAAGAGCCCCCTATTTCTAATTTTGAGAGCGCCCTGGGCGCTTATTACGTCGGTCGACACTGCATATACAACGTATTAAGTATTCTAAGAAAATGAGATATTTGAAACTAAAAGGTGAATTAATTACGAGTAACTGTCCGAAGCGTGCGCAATAACCGAAAACACCTCTCAAGTGCGGACGGTCGGGGAGCCTAGTGGTTAAAGCGTTCGCTCGTCACGCCGATGACCCGGGTTCGATTCCCGACATGGGAACGTGTGGAGCCCATGCATTTCTGGTGTCCGCCGCCGTCATATTGCTGGACTATTGCTAAAGACGGCGTAAAACCAAAGTCACTCACTCACTCTCAAGTGCTTGCTTGATGGACCCGATTACACATTTCGAAACTTTTACAAATTCCATTTTTCGTGTGTGGCTGTTTGTACTAGTCCGGACTACTGCCGATTTTATAGTGCTAGCCCACTGAGATACCATTCCGAAGTTTAACATGAATACCCCACTCAGACACAGTACACTGACTCCGAGCCGACCAGTCCTTTTTAGTCACTTAATGCCGAGCGCCAGTCAGGGTAACAACAAGTACCACCTTTTAACGTCTTTTGGTATGACTCGGCCTAGGATCGAACCCCGGACCTTCCGCTCTCTGGGCTCACGCTCTACCACTAGACCATGGAGTTCGAATTGGAAGGGGATTGATAAGTACCATTAGTTCATCACACAACGTCTGTCTCACTTTGGGTTTGGAAAGTAGCATGGAACTTTATTGCTTAAATGCTTGTTCATAATAGTACAGACCCGTGGAGATCCGGGGTATAATAGGTCTTCAGCAACCCATGCTTGCCGTGAAAGGTGACTATGCTTGTCTTAAGAGGAAACTAACGGGATCGGGTGGTAAGGCTCGCTGACCTGGTTGATGCATGTCTTCGTATCCCAATTGCGTGGTCCGATGCTCATGATGTCAGTCACTGGATTGTCTGGTCCAGACTCGATTATTTTCAGACCGCCGTAATACAGCTGGAATATTGCTGAGTGCAGCGTTAAACAAAAACAAACATAAAAGTGCATCTTGTTAAAAATGCCTCCAATTCCCACTGTTTAGGGGCATGGGAGTCGAAGGCGCCGCAATTTTCAGTTCAGGTTTGCGTAACTTCGGAGTGCAAGGATCCTATGATCACTGGTTCGAATCCGAGATTCGCTTTGATTATGACCCTTGGTTTGTCAGCACCATACCCGTACCCGTAATACAAAGGCCTGCATAAGTTTCGGCATCAAGCTGACACGCCGTGAAATGATGGAAACACTGTTCAAAGCAGCGCATTCTCATCCTGTTGGGCGCGGTGGGGTAGCCTAGTGGTTAAAGCGTTCGCTCTTCATGCCGATGGCCCAGGTTCGATTCCCACATGCGCACAATGTGTGAAGTTCTTTTCTGGTGTGGCCACCATGATATTGCTGGAATATTGCTAAACGCGTTGTGAAACCATACTCACACACTGTTTATAAACAGTTCAAAATATCGTTGTTCTGTGAAGCCACTATTGTGGGAATCGGAGCTGAATTAGATTCTTTTACCAATAAAATCCATAGGAGACCTGGAGAATGCATGGTCACAATCGAATATGACCAGAACTGAGATTTAACACCAGACATCCTTACTGACAGTCTGGTCGCTATCGACCAATGTTTTTTGGTTTTTTTAAATATTTTGTATTTCTATCGACCAATGGTTTGTTTGTACCACATCTGTTATATCGTCAATTGAACCATATACTCATTGTGATCCCCTGCCGCGTCATACCAAATGACGCTAAAAGATGGTACTTGTTGTTAACCTGACTGGCGCTCGGAATTATAGGGATACAACAAGGACTGGTCGGCTCGGAGTCAGTATACAGTGTCTGAGTTGGGTATTCATATTAAACTGCGGCATGGTATCTCAGTGGGCTAGCAGCATAAAACCAGCATACGCCACACGCACGCACGCACACACGCACACGCACACACACACAGCGTTATTACAGCGTTGGGTTTTCGTTTTTTCGCATATTAATTCATGTGAAGACCGTGCCCTTTCAGTAGAGCGGTCCAAGCGTAACGACTGTCGTACCTCCCTTACATTGACAGATTTACGGTAATCATTGCGCTTTGTAGCAAGACGAACAGGGCCTGGACACTATAAGTAATTGCCTGTTCTTTGATGTTTTTTGTGTTTCTGTAACCATGGTAACGGCATTTCTGTGTTGTCCAGTACGAGAGACACATGTGGCACCTTGACCTGTCCGGCAACTCCGTGGGGCGGAAGGAGTTCGAGTATGTCCACGCTGGAGAAGAGGACCAACCTGTGTGTGCTGGTCAGTTTTGTTTGTTTATTTGTTTAACGCCGCACTTATCAATATTCCAGCTATATGACGGCGGTCCGTAAATAATCGAGTCTGGACCAGACAATCATGTGATGGGCATCATGAGCATCGATCCACGACATTGGAATACGATGACATGCATCCACCAAGTCAGCGAGCCTGACCACCCGATCCCGTTAGTCGCCTGCGCCGGTCAGTACCTGTCTGTTGAGCGGGTGAGTGAGTGATGATTTACGCCGATTTATAAGGGAGGGTTTTACACGACACAAGAGGATGCATCCTATTTGCATACTATGAATGAGTTGTGTTTTATGCCGTTTTCAGCAATATTCCTGAAATATTGCGGCGGGGATCATCAAAAATGTATTAGACACATTGGGGGGATTCGAACCCGGGCGTTCGGCGTTACGAGCAAGCGCCATAACCACAAGGCTACCCCAGCGACCCTGTCTGTTGCCAATAACTAAAAAATCCAGACATAGACGTGGAAAACACTTGACATTTCTCAATATATATTTCATCCAAATAATAAACAATATTAATAAATAATAATAATAACAGTAACGATATCAAAGACAAAAAAAGCATTTGACACGTCATAATAGATTAAGTTATTCATAAAGCAATATGCTTATGTCTACAGCACTATCATGCACAGGTAACATAATGAAATACACTACCGGGCAAACGAAAGTATACACACCATGTTCGATGGTGACTAAATTTGAAACAAACGAGACATGGTTAATCGACGGTGATGTATTTGATACGGGTTTCATAGTTGTGTTTTGGACCTTACGTTTAAGTGTTATGGCGACTGATTTCAGCCGTTTGATCATTTTTGTAAAAAAAATTTGTCACATCCAATTTTCAAGTGAACACTTTCTTTTGCCCTGCAGTGTAGCTTTCTTCATCTACACAGATAATGAACTAAAACATCACATCCTGCAGATACTATATTGCCAAGCCTACCAACACGTAGCAACACAAATGTTCGGCAATATCTAGGGTAGATAAAAACGTTTGTGGGCTAAATTGTGAAAAAGGCGATATTTTGCACTTTGCAGAGCACTTGCTTCTGGTCAAAAGGAAAAAGGTCTATAAATAGTTAAAAACGCAATAGTGTAAATGTATACGTCCAACACCGTTATGTCGAACTTTGTCTAGAAGTAAAAGCTTGGTCCCTGCGTAATCCTTCTATATTCATCAGTTTCGGTTGTGACGAACCTCGGATAACTCGAAGTATTCACGTAGGTCCCTTCAACTTCGACACAACGGTGTTTGACTGTATGTTATTTTTTAAACAATACGTATACCTGATAGCAACATTAGTCCCATGTTACACAGAAGCCATATATTGATTTGTATTCTAAATAATCAACAATACACCCATACAATATAACACGCTTTAATAAATGACCGACTGAAAATAAATAAACTTTGAAGTTTATTTTCTTAAGGAAACAAAGGACCCATTTAAAATAGAAAACGCTGTTTTGCAATTGGGGAAATAAACTTAAAACAGTTCCAAATTGTATTCGTATAGTTTAACTCTCCGTGATATAAAACGTGGGAATAAAATGCCTCGTCGAGAGAGCGTGTTTGTTTGTTCTGAGTGAAGGGAGACAACCTATGTCGACTTGGCGTCGCGGTCACAATGCCCTGTGTGATGTATTTTTAACACAGTCCATAATGGGAGAGGCGGTGTTAGCACAAACAGACATCTTTATATGGAACGCACAATACGCAACCTCTTTTTACAATTTCATGTATACATGAAAGCAAATCCTTGTACTAAACAGTTGAGCCTCATGTGAGGTGAGGGTACACTACTGTCATTTAATAGATTAAATAACATTGACAAATGTTTCAAAATATACATATACCGTTACAATTATTATACATCCACCGTCTATAGCACCAGTGATATTTGGGGTTTTGCAGATCATGTCCTGAAAGTAGGTTCCACAATTCAGAATGACAATTCATCAATCAACATCGACACAGTTGGCTATACTATACGATGAAGCACGATACACAGTTCTCAAACAGTTTAGTCCACTTCTTCCACAGTCGGACCTTGACCCTGACTTTCACCTTGACCCCCAGACGACTGACCTGAGCCGTGGAGCTTCATCATGATTGGTTGACATGTTTTTTGGATTTCCTTAAGCTGATAATCATACTCGTCCTTGTCTGCCAGCATGTTGGCATCCAACCATTTTAGAGTCTCCTCGCATTTAGTGTTGACCGCGTCTCTATCAGCTTGAGGCAGCTTGTCACCTGCGTCCCCCACGGCTTGTCTCACGCTGAAGACGTAAGCCTCAAGCTGGTTCCTGGCCGTCACACGTTCTCGTTGTTTCTCGTCCTCTTCTCGATATGTATCGGCCTCGTTGACCATTCTGTCAATCTCCTCCTTGCTTAGCCTTCCCTTGTCGTTCGTAATGGTGATCTTACTAGACTTCCCCGTGCTCTTGTCCTGGGCGGATACGTTCATGATGCCATTGGCATCAATGTCAAAGATTACGTCAATCTGAGGCACACCACGTGGCGCGGGGGGAATCCCCGTCAGGTCGAAGCGACCAAGAAGATTATTATCTTTAGTCATCGCTCTCTCGCCTTCATAGACTTGCACTGAGACTGCCGACTGGTTATCAGAATATGTGGTGAATGTTTTGGATGTTTTGCAAGGTATGCGGGCATTTCTCTCCACCAGCTTGGTCATCACCCCTCCTGCTGTCTCAATGCCAAGGGACAGTGGGGCTACATCAACAAGCAGTACGTCCTTAATGGTCTCGTGGGTATCGCCGGTCAAGATGGCGGCCTGAACTGCAGCACCGTACGCAACTGCTTCATCCGGGTTGATAGACTTATTCAGATCTTTCCCGTTCATGAATTCTTGAAGCAATTTCTGAATTTTAGGAATACGGGTCGATCCCCCCACCAATACAATATCGTCAATTTTAGCCTTGTCCATTTTAGCATCGACCAGAGCTTTCTCAACAGGTTCCATAGTGTTGCGAAACAGGTCAGCGCACAGGTCCTCAAATCTAGCCCTGGTAATTTTAGAATAAAAGTCTATACCTTCATGGAGAGAGTCAATCTCTATACCAGCTTCTGTACTACTGGACAATGTCCTCTTCGCCCGTTCACAGGCACTGCGCAGGCGTCGGATGGCCCTGTGGTTTCCGGTGAGATCTTTCTTATATTTCCTCTTGAATTCATCCTTGAAGTGGTTGACGAGCCGGTTGTCGAAATCCTCTCCACCAAGGTGGGTATCCCCTGCTGTCGACCTCACCTCAAACATCGACCCCTCGTCGATAGTGAGGACCGAGACATCGAACGTACCACCGCCCAGATCATATACCAACACATTCTTCTCACCTTTCAGATTCTTGTCCAAACCATAAGCCAGTGCGGCCGCCGTGGGTTCGTTGATAATTCTCAGGACGTTGAGACCGGAAATGGTCCCGGCGTCTTTCGTCGCCTGCCGCTGGGAATCGTTGAAATAGGCCGGAACGGTGACAACTGCATCTGTTACCTTGCTGCCCAGGTAAGCTTCGGCTGTCTCCTTCATCTTGGTCAAAACCATAGAACTGATTTCCTCAGGTGCAAACACTTTCGTTTCCCCTTTAAATTCCACTTGTAACATCGGTTTATCTCCCTTAGCGACGACCTTGAAAGACCAATGCTTCATGTCACTCTGAACTGCTTGGTCGTTAAACTTCCTCCCGATCAGACGCTTAGCATCAAAAACAGTATTGCTGGGATTCAGTGCAACCTGATTTTTCGCAGCGTCACCTAAAAGTCTTTCTGTGTCGGTGAACGCCACATAACTGGGTGTTGTCCTGTTACCTTGGTCGTTGGCGATAATTTCCACTTTCCCATGTTGGAACACGCCAACACAAGAATACGTGGTTCCCAAGTCAATTCCCACGGCTGGGGTCTTCGGCATGGCTGTATAACAATCTCAACTCTTCAGGGGAAAAAGACGACAAATGCAGGATGAAACTGCAGTTTAGTGTTAGCTCTCTCTTTACCGACGTCTATCCCCGGTCTTAAAAGCCTGTAGACTGAAACTACAAACTCCGCCAGATACATATATACACACACAACCCGTTCCTGAACATTCTCTAACAACCGACACTCGCCCGCTTGGCAGACTGCCAAATTCTCAAACCCGCGCCAACCGTACTATGGAAACCCGTTCCCGCCAACTCCGCAGGTAAACACCGAGTAATGCCTTGTGGTGCAACTGTCAGTCTGTTCAAAGCATTTACATGAATACACGTCGGTATGCTTCTGAATAATGAAACACACTATATAGCGTCAGAAAGAAAGAATTTGCCGGCTCAGTAATTTTGTTCACTATTACCTGCAGCGGGCAATTCGTTGTCTATTGTGTTGTAACTTGTCATATGCTCAGACCTGTGAAGATCCGGGTTAGAATAGGTCTTCAGCAACCCACGCTTGCCGTGAAGGGTGACTATGCTTGTTGTAAGAGGTGACAAACGGATCGGGTGGTCAGGCTGCGGACGAGGTTGATGCATGTCATGGTATCCCAATTGCGTAGATCGATGCTCATGATATCAATTATTGGATTGTCTAGTCCAGAAAATAAACAACTAACAAATCGTGTTTAGCATGACGACAAATATAGGATACTAGTATTTATTATCAGATATGTATTATTTACACAGACGTAGGTAAATATATATGAGTAGGCAAAGACTTGATTTTATGTAAAGGGTATAGCACGAGGACCCTGTGTCTTATCGTTGAAATGGTTACTTAGATTCCGAGCTTTAACCGACCAATAAGACATTATCGGGTCCCGTGTTCTCTAACCAATTTGTACCATGGCCTTAGCGCCTAATATGATCTGTGATTCTTAGGGAGTCTTTCCGACGTGACGTACATGGACTGTGCAGGTTCCGCGACTGCACATATACGAGTGAGTGAGTATGGTTTTACGCCGCTTTTAGCAATATTCCAGCAATATTACGGCGGGGGACATCAGAAATGGGCTTCACACATTGTACCCATGTCGGGAATCGAACCGGGTCTTCGGCGTGACGAGCGAACGCTTTAACCACTAGGCTACCCGAACGCCCCTGCACATATACAGAGTCAAAACACGGATAAAAATGTAATTTTTAAAAATAATGAAAATCGTTCTGATATAATAATGATGGCTAGATATAGAAACTTGAATAAATATAAAGAGAGAGAGAGAGATCTACAATATATAGCTAGGTACTTACTGATGCTGATAAGAAGAAGGATGCATATGGATATCGCATGCGGTTTTTGAAAAAAACAAAAATATATTATTTTTATAAGTAGTTTTCTTACCAAATTATGATAATCCTAAATGTCCCTGTTGATTGATACAGTCATTTGGACAAGACAAAGATGCAACTTTGGATTATTTTGAGTTAAAGAGCGGCGAGTTATTCCCGTTTTAATAGCAATAGCTCGTCACGCCGAAAACCCGAGCTCGATTATACCCGATACCCCTGGGTGTCTTTGATTTGTGTCCCCCTACCCCACAACATCTCCATCGTCGTTATTTATTGCTGGAATAATGCCAAAGGCGGTTTTAAAAACCATACTTGCTCGCTCAGCCTAAATCCACTTTTATCTTCATTCTTCTCAGTGTGAGAAATATAAAACACGTGTGATGACCCAATCAGCATTAACAGCTGTGCAGTCCCCACAGAGACGATATGCATTAAATAAACATATAAATGTAGAAACTCTGACATAATCTGGTGAGTGTCAGACAGTCGACCAGTCAGCTCGAGAATGTTCTAAAACATGTGTGGTATGCCTTACCAAAACAAACTTAAGTATTAATTAAAATATTTGGATTGACTAGATCTATGTATGCATGAAAAACCAAATGAATTACAAAAATGATCAAAGCAAGTAAGAGATACTGACATCTCTTGAGTTTTCTAAATCACAGAATGACACAGATATTGTTTTAATCTCAGCTGTCTCTGAAAAAAACAGTGCATCATTCATTGCGTGCTCTGACCCGGGGAGGTATTACTTTGTTGGGTATTTTCCAATCTTTACTTGTATGTTTGTTTTTGATTATGTAAAAATAATCTTCAAATTACTGACCTAGCTAATAATCAAATGTGGAAATATAAAATTTATGTCTGTGTAAATAACATAAATATATCAAACTATAAACATTAGCAATGTAATGAAAATATACAATGAAAGGTCCCTGTTGCTACTTTCGTTTTGCGCATGACGGAAGTAAACAAACAAAACATCTGCGAAGATAAAACTTGCGGCAACTTGCCAAAAATTGTTTCTCCACGTTCCAAGTTATTGTGCACTTCGGTGGTATGCGGAATTACTAAGCAGGAAATCATTTCAGAAATTGCCAGAGAAGCTCTGTTACTTGTTGATTAACGCTGCGTGGGTGATAGTACAGTTGTAAGTTGGAGCTGAACGATCGACTAGAAAGTTCGTCTGCTAGGCTGGGCTTGTCGAGAACCTTCGATAAGGAGGGTCCTATCGAAGAGCTAAAAATTCTTTGAAGTTTATGTTAGGTGTTTTTTTTATACACTCAAAACACAAACCAATCAATCGTCAGTCCTAATTCATATCCGAACATCAAAAAAAAGGTTTAGTATAACAGGTTTAATAAAATACATAAGGTCATGTCATGTTGTTGTGGTAGGTATAACCGTTTGGACAGTATTATGAAATACATTTTATTTGCGTTATGAATAGTTTATAAAACAAAATAACATATGTCATAACACCAGCTACTGAAGTGACCATGGTACCTGCATTTATCCACAGGACCATGTAGATAATTAATAATAATATCAAACTTGCAGACGAGGCCGCGTCAGCGAGTTTTTTGCGAGTTTGTTTATTATTTTTAATAGTAACATGGTCCTGTGGGTTACCATGTCTTCTCATGCATTTGTCGTTTAATATCTGTTTGGGTATGTCGCCCCTTCTGTGACATAAAAGAACTGATATTAACCAATGTCTTTATGAACGATTGAGGGGACAGAGTCAGCAGCATGAGAGAACCATGCTAGCTCGCTGCAGGCAGATATCATAGCTCATATTCAGAAATACTCCATGTTTCCATAACATGTTACTGTTTATTTTCAGTACATTGTCGTAGGAGGCGACTGACAGGATCGGTTTGTCAGGCTTGCTGATTGGTTGATGCTTGTCATCGTATCCCAGTTGCATCGATGTTCATGATGTCAATCACTGGATTGACTTGATTATTTACAGACCGCCGTCACATAGCTGGAATATTGCTTCATGCTGCGTTAAACAACAAACAAACAAACATGGTGTTGGCATAACTCTTTATATCAAAGATATTCATGCAAAAATAAGATATATTGTTTTGATGATAGTGTTTGCATAGCATTCAAGCGCACGATGCCTCACTTTGCAGATATTTAAATTGAATAGATGTAACAGCCTACCTTTAGAATTCAGCACCATCAAACTTACAAACACCTCGCATAACCCTATGAGGTAATTTGTGAAATTTTATTGCCAGATAACACATACAAGGTGAATGGTAACAAGGCATGACTAGGTACTCAGTTTAACAGTCGGGACAACAGTCCAAATGTCAGGAGTTCAAGTCTTTAAGATTCTCACAAAAACTGTTTGCTTGTATTATTGACACGTCACCTTCAGCAGAGATCGTCCTCACGAGAATTTGTGCTGAAATCAAAAGAAGGTCCTAAATTTTTTCCACAGGAACCAATTTTATCAGAGAGTTTTTCCATTCATGATTATTTATACTAGTTACATCTATTCCAGTCAGACTAAATTTTGACAGAACTGATCATCATTGACATTATCAATAAGGAATGTTATTCCTAATGATGGTTTTCAGATGAATCCAGTAAATGTTGCAGCCCTTGTTGATCTACTCCACCCAGAGAAACATGATTCTGACAGTGAAGATGACATGGTAGGTCTCTACAAATTAATGGAACTGATCATTTTGATTCTTTATGTCTTAATCTTGTTCCATTCCCCAATAACTATATATAGAGTGTGTGTGTTATCCTATTTTCCATGAATTTAATTGGCTGACGTGGAATTAAAATTGAATGTTATTTTTCAATAACTGCAGAAAAATCTTGCGAACCCAGAACTACTTTCTCAAAAGGGATTCCCGTTGATGTCACCTCAGCGCACCAACTTTCAATATTTGAAAAATAATCTGAAAAAAAGTATCGAGAACGTCCATGTATCAAACAGCCAAGAGATTATGAGGGCCTCTGTTACGAAGTTTCAATAAATAAGTTAAAACAAACTATTCAAGGAGAATCTTATCTTATATCTTATCTTATATATATCTTGTCTTATCTTATAAGATCTTTTAACATCTTATAGTATATGATTTCATTGCAGTCACGATATATATCTGCTGAACGGCCTTCTGTTTCGTTGCTTGGTCTAGCCTCAATCAGCTCGATCGTTCATTCGTGTAAATCTGAAAAAAGATTATATACAATTTGTAACTGTAATCCTTTCATAAATGCACAAAAAAGCAAAAAAAGTCCTTAAATACATGTACATCTTGGTGTGAACAGCTGAAATATGACTGGAGCAGCATACATGAACATACAGTACTGTTAACTTACTCTGTATTCTTACAAGTGCTGTTTTTTGGGGGGTTTTTATGTCACATTCTGAAATATTCCAGCTCTATCACAATGGGTCGCAAATAATCCAGTGAACAATAAATAGCTGGAACCATTTTTCAGTTTGGCTGTATAAAGATTGTCATGACGAAACATGTCTTGGTTGCCATAGAGACAAGGTCACAGGCATTAGTGTAATTAATATCTGATCTCTGTTGATGAAAGTGAGTGTCAGACCATGGTTCTGGAATGAATGTGATGCTTGTCAGACCCCTGTGCGTTAAGCAATAATTACTCACTCACTCTGAGGAGCCAACAGTTGTCCTCATTCCTAATGAATGTGGCAGGATGTCCTTGTGTAGCTGGAATATTGCGGACATTCATTGCTACAGAAGTAGCAGGTGGTTGGAAGAGTGTTGTGTAAGCATGTTGTACATGTCTTCAGCCCAGACTATATTTGTTTTTGTTTACCGATTTTGGGCCCTGGATGCCGTTGTACAAAGCGATCTTAGCGCTAAGGTGATCGTAACTCCCATACCTTACCATGGACTTACGACTGTCGTAGTGCTAAGGTCGTTTTGTACAACAACACCCAGAAAATTTAGGTCAGTAGGTTGAAAAAATAAAAATACACAAATTCCAATTTCAAATATTATTTTTGGTCTTTAAGTAAAAGTAATATATGATAATACATATTTGATACATTTAAAAAAAACAAGCAAGAAATAAAGCTGCTCCATTTTGAAATATCAACTTCCTCAGGTCACTAAACAAAATAATGCTTAGTGAGATAAACATGTTCTTTGGAAAGACATTACAAATGTATTTAATTTTTTTACATTTGCCTGGGAACACCATTTTTTACCTTGGGGCTCCCATTTTTTTTATCTGGGACCCCTACATATTGGAGGACCCTCAAACTAAATAACACAGGTAAATCCCTGGGGTGTGTCGTCCCGTCTCTTTATTTGTATATAAACATTTCCAACAGTAATCTCCAAAGGTTTCATTGTATGTATATTTCAGCCCTCAAATACTATGGCGAAGATGACGCCAGCTGATATTATCCCTAAAAAGACAGAAATAGAGGAAAAGAAATCAGGTAAGTTTGTGAGTGCTGTCACATGAGGGATCGCACATTGAGCATGTTGAGATATTACTGAAGACAATCTACCATGATTCAGTAACATGACTTGATCTGGGCCACACACATTGATCTTGGACACACACATGCATGCAACCCGTGAAGATCCGGGGTAGAATAGGTCTTCAGCAACCCATGCTTGCTGTAAAAGGCGACCATGCTTGTTGTAACTAACGGGATTGGGTGGTCAGGGTCGCTGACTTGGTGGATGCATGTCATCGTATCCCAATTACGTAGATCGATGCTCATGGTGTCAATCACTGGATTGTGTGCTCCAGACTCGATTATTTACAGACCGCAGTCATATAGCTGGAATATTGCTGAGTGCGGCGTTAAACAACAAACAAACCAAACCAAACCACACTGATCATGTGTGTGTGTGTTGTTTCAGGTGTAAATGTGTGCCTATGTCGTTTCCGGTGTAAATGTGTGTGTGTGTTGTTTCCGGTGTAAATGTGTATGTGTGTTGTTTCCGGTGTAAATGTGTGTGTGTGTTGTTTCCGGTGTAAATGTGTATGTGTGTTGTTTCCGGTGTAAATGTGTGTGTGTGTTGTTTCCGGTGTAAATGTGTATGTGTGTTGTTTCCGGTGTAAATGTGTATGTGTGTTGTTTCTGGTGTAAATGTGTGTGTGTGTTGTTTCCGATGTAACACACACACACACACACACACACACACACACACACACACACACACACACACACACACACACACACACACACACACACACACACACACACACACACACACACACACACACACAGAGCAAACAAATATTCAAAATATTATGTGTGCGTCTTACCTGAAAGATAAGTATTTAAGAATTATTTATTTGTAGTCAGTGTGTGTTTAGGTGTGTGGGATTTGCCTTACAGACTTATACTATGGAGCTTCCATTTGGGAGTGTGCTAGGTGTTATCATTTGAGTATAGTATTTCATCTTGAAAGCAGTATTTTGAGATCATGTCAAAATCTTTCAAGTCAACTCGCAAAATTTTAATCTGTATGTGATATTTGAGTTTTGCTTGGAATGTTAATGTAAGCTGTATTTAGGTATGTGCAAATGTGGCGATAAAGTTAAAAAATATACGAGAAATATTTATCATAAAGATCTGTTTATAGCAATAGAAATTAGGGGCAGTAAGTGAGGTATTTTGCCCTGCATTTATCTGATGGTCGATGAGCATAACACAGTGGCTAAAGCTATTTATTATCCTGCTGAAGTTCGTGTTTGATTACCCACAAATGTATTCTGTGTGGAGCTCATTTCTGGTGTCCTCCTCCGTAATATTAGTGGAATATTGCTAAAATCAGTATAAAACCAAATTCACTCTAATCTAAGGACCCTAAATCCATCAGTCATTTCTAGCTTTGGGTTAAGACTCCCTGACTTCCATCCTTGATATTCAAAACTGGTTTCATTTACAGCAGCAGGACCCAAGATAGCCAGTAAAGACATATGGGATGAAGAGGAGGTGCCGGAAGGGTCCGAGTTTGAATCTGTGTATGACCCTCGACCTCAGCCTGAGTAAGCTGAAATTGCACTATGAATAATTAACAGTGAAACCTTGTAAATAACGTGATTGGAATCGCCTAAAATATTGATTTCTTAGAATGTCGTCATCTTCCTGAGGAAAGGGAGTTAGCTGACTATAAACATCAAGTTTCCACCCTTGCCGAACTAGGATGGAATTATGGAGTGATGGTTTGGCTGTACTAACAAGTCTATGCATGGTCTAATCAAAATGGCTCAACTAAATCGACATTTGGTTCATAAACTGCAGTGCAGATTTCATTGATTACAGGATTTGCAAAGAATGTGTACCGTCAACTATTAAGCATCAACAGATCCAGATTTTTTCATGTTTTTATCAAAGTGCTCACATGATTTAATGCTCTTCGCAAAGTAAGACCTGTAATATTAAAATATGGATCTTGATTATCAATCAAATTGTCTTCACTTGGCGCCACCATTTTGTTTGAACCAAATGCAAGTATTATAAGAGGTTAAATCTGATTGGTCAATAGGAGAGAAATAACTTGTAAACTTGTAAATTCCAGCCTTGTTCGGCATGGGTGGAAACTGGACTTTTACCATCAGTAAACTCCCTTGCCTGGGGAAGATGTGCATCAGTTGACAAGCAAGATACATGTGTGTATTTCACCAAAACACATTGCATGTATCTGTCTGAAAAAAACAGAGATCGAGTAAGAATACTCAAGCAGGTCAACTTAAAGGGGCACTGATCTCTGACAATTCTCCAGGACTGGTTGTTGCCTGTTATTGTTTTTTTCCCATGGATACCAAGATTATATCCCAGAAATCTCAGCTAGTTTGCGACCTGTGCTGCACCAACTGTAAGCGTAATGGACGCTTTTGTTGATAATGTAAGGGCATGAGATGAGTGCGCCATTAACATTACCATGTGTTTGATTTGGGGTATCTTCAAACACATTGTTTTATCTGATATATGTATATCCACTGGGGGTGTCATTGATTGGTGAATTTTAGTATTGATATATCGACTCAAAAGCATCACGGTAATCAAATACATATCAAATATTAATCAAATTAGTTAATTTTTAGATAAACAATACCCATATTGACCCCTGGTTAAAATTGAATTTTTTCTGTCTTTTCATTGCCAAGGTTGACCATGGTAATCTTCAAAATATGAAAGTTTTTGTGACTGTGAATTATAGATTTAATATTGATATTCATCAGTTTGTATTGATACAGCATCGATATTACAAATGTACCGGTATCAATACACCGAAATTGCAATATACGATGACATCCCTGATATGATCTCGCCCAACTTAATTTGTGTTTTGGGCGTCCTATCAAGTAATAGAACAGACATACAGTAAAATATGTCCATAATGAACTGATGGGACCCATGAAGATCCGGGGTAGAATAAGTCTTCAGCAACCCATGCTTGCCATAGAAGGCGATTATCGTTGTCGTAAGAGGTGACTAACGGGATCGGGTGGTCAGGCTTGCAGACTTGGTTGATGCATGTCATCGTATCCCAATTGCGTGGATCGGAATAAGATAACATATTGATGTATCTGGGGAAAACCCTTTTTTCTCTCAACATCAACCTGTTAATTATAATTATTAGGCAAAGTAGTTAGAAACACTCATTGTTTATTTGCCTGAGGAATGCCTCTGACATGGGCATATCCCTTAATTTAAGTGCCTATTCATTTCTCTGTGCTTGTATTTTGTGATTGTCAACATATTGTTTTTCAGCTTTGATATTGTCTACAAACAAGCTGTCACCTCCGAAGACATGTTTCTGGGGATGGGAAACAAGACCCCATCCTCCGCTAGCTGTGAAGACATGGTGGTATTTCAAGTTTACAAGTATTATCATCATACCTCCATGTCAGAATGAAGAGATCTGATTGGTCCATGTGATGTTGATGAAATACAAAGTTGTTTTAAGTTCAAAATGTAGAAAATCAAGGAAAAATTGCTCACAAATTCCCTTCACCTTTTCAATCAAAAATTTATTTATTTATTTATTTATTTATTTATTTATTTATTTATTTATTTATTTCAAAATCTGTAGACAAAACAAAGATAAAGTCTGAAACTGTTAGCTGTAATAGTGAGCCTCAAGGACTGGATGAGGGACAGGTTGCCACTACCCAGGAAACTCTAACACAACACTTCATTACTCTTTCCCCAGGTAAAGATAAAGCTTCCTGACTGTAAAATGGCAGATGTCCAACTGGATGTCAAGGCCAAGTTTCTAGACTGCCGCACACCGAAATAGTAAGTGCTTGTTACCCGTTGCACAGGTAAATTATAAATACATGAAGCTGAAATACAGGTTTGTATAAAATCAGCCTGTTTGTCCGTCATATGTCGTAAAAATATTCCTCAAAACCACAAGACCAGTGAAGCTGAAATTTCCCATGCTTCTTCCCAGCAAAGATGACAGCCCACTTTGTTCAAGATGTTCATACCTGCTTTTCAAGATGGCCACTATGGCAGCCATATTGAAAAAACTATTTATGGCCATTACTCAGCCTTTTTTTTCAAAATGAAATGAAATTTGGTGTGTGTTGTTGGTAGTCTGGATATATGTTATGTTTTGGGGGTTATTTTAAGTTTGACCTTGATTTGAGCTTTGCACTTAAACCTTACTGCAATCTCAAACTACTCAGCCATTTTTGTTCAAACTGTAAGGAAATTTGGTAGATCTATAGTTTGTAGTGCGACTGAACACATTGGTAGGTTTTTTTTATGTACTTTACATCTTTACATCATTTTGTTACCTTTACACTGTGACCATGCTCCTAAATCTCTCCTAAGTAATTTCCTTACTCTTTAAACATCATCTCTTCAGAAACCACTAGACCAATGAAGGTGAAGTTTCACATGCTTGTTTCAACCAATGATGGCACCCCATGTCTGTTGTTCAGGACTTTTGAATCCGCTCTGCCATAGCAGCCATATTGAAAAATATATTTACAATCATTGTTCAGCCATTTTGTAATGGAATGTTGTATTTCACTCATTTGTTTAGTTGCAACATACGTGTGCTGTTTTTTGCGATATTCTAATTTATAATTTTGACCTTAATTTGACAATGCTCTTAAATTATTAATTCTTAATTTTTGTGATTTTCAAGAAAAGTAAGTGTTTTTGTTATTTTTTACAATAAATCTGCACTGACTTTCAAAATAAATGTGATAATAAGGTTTTTTCTACAAGACATTAGGGCAGTTTGCAATGTCACCTATCCGGCAGAAATCTTAGCAGCCGCTGTAAGCGGGCAGGCAACTATTTTGGACACTGACAGTACCAAAATCATGCACCAAAACGTATGGTGGCAGCTCATTTCAACATGCTGGCCAAGTGTTATGGCACAATCTGGTGTCAGAAGTCAAGGAACCAGAAACTTTGACAAAATTTTAAAAAGAGACTGAAGACCTGTCTCTTCAAGCAAGCCTTGGACTAGATTTATCATGGTCCCAACACATGTCAGCGTTTTTTGTTGGAAAGTGCTCAATTCAAATACGTAATTTAATTTATGTAATATAACCTTAAGCCTCAACAATTGCGGGGCGGTCGGGTAGCCTAGTGGTTAAAGCGTTCACTGGTTACACCGAAGACTCGGGTTCAATTCCCCACATGGGTTCAATGTGTGAAGCCCGTTTCTGGTGTCCCCGCCGTGATATTCCTGGAATATTGCTAAAAGCAGCGTAAAACCTTACTCACTCACTCACTCAACATGCTGCATTCTGACCATGTTACTTCCAGCAAGCTGGGTCTGCACCTGCCACACCCTGTGGACCACAAGAATGGCAAGGCACAGTGGGAAAGTTCATCAGAGACTCTAGTCGTCACATTACACATGATGAGAGAATATGACTTCATGAACTTCTGAGGACCAGACCAGATGGAACCGATGTGCAATACTGGATGCTGACACAGATAAACTCTCCTGTCATGACTCACAATATGTGTCTGTGCAACAGGTGCTTGTACAACATATTGATGCATCAAATATTCAGACATTGACATGACCTGGCTCTCGTCTCAAACAGGTCATGCTGTTTCTGGGATCAAGTATCAGCTCTCCTCTTAAACATTTCTGAAATTTGAATTTGAATATTAATATCATGTTATTTTTAGATAATGTATTAGATCCAAATTAGTAAATAGTATTCAGAGGGGGATCCAGAATTTTGAAAAAGGGGGGATGCACCTTATACCTTAGTCACAAAGTGACTTGACCGAGGTTGCAGTTAACATGTAAGGTGTATGAGAGAAAGGGGATGCACACCCCTGTATCCCCCTCTGAATCCGCCAGTGGTATTCTAGACTGTGCCTAGTGAGTGGACACTGAATGCATGTACAAGTTCAAGATGATGACTGATACTTAAGAAGTTCATTCTGTCCGTCATATCTAGCCATGTAACAACAAAAGCAGGTGGCCATCCTTTCATGCAGAATGAGAAATGACAACACATATGTCCATGCTTTCATACAAACAAGAATTAACATCACATCATCCGGAATAAATATACACATGTCCGTCCTATCATCCACAATGAATGTGAACAAGTGTCCGTCCTAGCATGCAAACAAAAAGTAACATGTGACCCTCATTTGCATAATGATTAGAAAGTGTCCTCATTCGAACAGGATATGACTGCCAATCACAACAACTCTCACAGGGGATCAGGTAGCCGAGTTGTCTCTGACGCTTTAAGTTGCAGTGCAGAGTTGCATCTTTTGGGCACACCAGAAACCTATGATCATGGGTTCAAATCCCGATTTGTCCCAGTTATGTTGTTGGTTTGTCAACACCTACCTGTGGTCGTTGGTTTCACCAAAGCGGTAAACGTCAGAGACCTGCATCACTTCAGGCTTTCCTCTCAAATCAAGCTGACATGCCATGATATAACTTGAATACTGTTCAAAGCGGCGTTAAACCAAGCTCACTCAATCATAACCCTCTGTGTAATCCTAACTATACAAATGAGGAATCAATAAACCTTTCATGAACCAGTACATTACGTCCTATTTCGTTCCATTTTCATTTGCGATTCGCTGTGCAGAGTTGCGTCCCTTGGGCACGCCAGGAACCTATGATTGTGGGTTCTAATCCTGGTTTGCCCCGATTATGTTTCCAGGTTTGTCAGCACCGTACCCGTGCTCGTGGGTTTCACTGAAGTGGTAAACGTCTGAGACCTGCATCACTTCGGACTTTCCTCCCACATTAAGCTAACACGCTGCGATATAACTGGAATACTGTTAAAAGCGGCGTTAAACCCAACTCACTCACTCACTCACCATTTTCATTTATAACATGTCAGTTGATTTATTTATGGAGTCAGTATATTGAACTGGATTTGCACTGACATGATGATTTTGTCAAATTGAGATGTATGTTTAATAAAAATATTTATGGAAGTGTTTTTCCTTTCATAAACATAACAAAAAAGATATGTGTTCATTGAAAATTTCATTCAGATTGATATGACAATTGTTATACACATACTGCTCCTCTTTTGATAAGGATATTCCCATTGTTCCATAATTAACCAAACTATACTGAGCATGATATTTCTCAATGTCCCTATCAAACATTGTGTAGTGTTATGTTTAAATGCATCGTGGAATCCCAGGTTTGTATATTCCACACATGGGCCTGGGAGAGTCGTACTGCATGCTGAATATAGAAAGTCTTGTTCTAACCGATCAGACCATGGTCCAGTGGAGAGATCTTCTGCCAGGAGAGACTGAGGCCAATGGTTCGATCCTCAACCACATCATATAGAAAGGTGTTAAAAGATGTCACTTGTTGTTACCCTGCCTGGGGCTCGCCATTAGGGAGATAAAAGGGCTGGTCAGCTCAGAGTCAATATACTGTCTCACAGTAGGGTATCCATCCTTAACTGCAGCACCAGGTATCTCAGTGAGCTAGCACTATCAAACCGGCATTAGTCTGTACTGGTACAAGCAGGCACAAATACACTCACACACGCACGCACGCACGCACGCACACATGCATGCATGCATGTCACTTTATAACAGTAAATAAAATAATCTTAAATGCATTATACCCCATTTCACCTCACCTCTAACCGATCAGTGGAGATTGGTAGAGCCCTCGTCTCATATGAGAGGCAGTCGGATAGCCAAGTGGTTAAAGCATTCGTTTTTCACACCAAAGACCTGGGTTCAATTCCCCACTTGGGCACAATGTGTGAATCCCATTTGTGATGTTCCAGCCGAGATATTGTTGGAATATTGCTGAAAGCAACATAAAAGCATACTCACTCACTCACTCACTCACTTTCTCACTCAGCTTATTTGATGCAAGCTATAATGTGTACTAAAGTTAACAGAAAATCTCAGGTTAAGTGATGGTAAAACCAGTCTGGTCAGGAAATATTGCCTAGATATATCAGGCAGAGGTAGTGAAGGTTTTATGTAGGCCACAGTTAAATGATATACATTATGTAGTGTTTCCAAGAGTAATGCAATATTCTTTTGATTTCTTTATTGTAGATCTTGTTTGTAATCCAACACATTTCATTATTGAGGTAAAATGGGGTTTAACCTCGCCTTCAAGAATATTGCACTTATTTTAAGTGTGTGTGTGTGTGTGTGTGTGTGTGTGTGTGTGTGTGTGTGTGTGTGTGTGTTAGAGAGAGAGAGAGAAAGAGAGCGAGCCAGAGAAGCTGCTTATTCTAGTCAAAACTAATGCTGGTTTTAATAGTGCTAGCCCACTGAGGTACCATGCAGCAGTTTAACATGGATACCCAACTCAGACACAGCATACTGACTGAGCTGACCAGTCCTTGTTTTATCTCCTTAATGCCGAGTGCCAGGCAAGGTAACAACAATTACCATCTTTTAATGTGTTTTGGTATGATTATTATGGATAAGGGGCAGACTTGGGATCAAAGTGTTGCTAATGACCTAGGCTCGATTCCACACATAGGTACCATGTATTTAGGGTTAGAATAGGTCCCAAACACTGGTGCTGATCGTAAGAGGCAACTTAACAGATAGGTGGTCAGATTTGGTGACTTTGTTGATAGGGTGTCCTTGTACCGACAGTGTGGAAAAATTATTATTTATAGGCCACCATCATATAGCTGGAATATTGCTGAGTGCTCAGTTAAACACACACACACTCTCTCTCTCTCTCACACACACACAAACACACACACACACTGTATAACATAGTCCTGCACCATGACCGTGGAATATATTTATTTTATGGAAAAAAAATAATCTAGAAACGCATACAAAAAAGCAAGTCTAGCCAGCTCAAGCTAGCTCTATCTGAAATCAGCATAGGGAAATATTTTTTTATTTTTAGAGTCCAGGATATTGTGTAATATAAAATTTCAGAGACTAAATGTTAGTCTATGTATGACGCAAATAACGCTGAAATGATGGTGAAGAATCCTTGCTGAAACCGGGGAAAACCCAACTTATTCACTCACTATCAATCTGCACTCGGAGAAGACAGTTCTACATGCCCGGCTAAGTTAGGTTACAAACAATCCATCTCCATCTAGACATGATTATCGCCTGACTCAGCTAGTGCACCAAGAAGTTCCAGCAAGATAACCGTAGCATCTCCTGGTGGCAGGTTACAGCCTACCCACGCTGTCTATGAACGGCTGGCGTATCTCAGATACCAGTCAATCTGCCCAAAAAACGCACGTTCCTCGCATTGCTCACTTCTGCTGTCAGGGTATTACTTGTTAGACTTGCTCAGACCAACTCCGAGAGCACGTTTCCTAGTAACATTTCGAGTTGGAAGAGATTTTAATTTGAATTTATATGTAGTGTGTGAAACAGTTACATCGTCAGGGAGATGGACAGCGAGAGTGATGTCATGATGAAATTGAAATTTCTTGTTTATTGGAGAAAATCGTTTCAAATGTTTACGTCTGAAAATGCAAGGGGAATAGTTTCAAAGGTTTAATATGATATATTTGAGTCAAAACATGTGAAAAGATGTGGGTGTGTGTTCTTGGAAAATATTCAGGCCATATATCTGGTGAAACTGAAGTCGTGAATGCATCTGCTGAAACGACTTAATGAAAATAAGTCACCGTTTATTTCCCATCTGTTTGCTTTCCGTTGAGTGATTGAGTACGATCCTTCTTTAACATTCCGCTCAAGGGCGCTCTGTGTTGCATGCAGAGAAAAAGCATATGTCACTTCAACCTCAAACTGATACTCCGTTAAGGACGTATGAAGTATTCGACTGATAAACAGTCAACACTAAACAGATCAGATTGGACGCGAGTGTAAATGAGATCTTTTTTACTTTTAATTATTTATTTAATATCTTTACGGGGGGCTCGGGGGGCCAAGTCGTCTAATGCGCCGCGATTCGCTGTGCAGAGTCGAGTCCCTTGGGAACGTCAGAAACCTATGATTGTGGGTTCGAATCCCGGTTCGCCCCGATTATGTTTCTAGGTTTGTCAGCACCATACCCGTGGTCGTGGGTTTCACCGAAGTGGTAAACGTCTGAGACCTGCATCACTTCGGGCTTTCCTCCCACATTAAGCTGACACGCCGTGATATAACTGGAATACTGTTAAAAGCGGCGTTAAACCCAACTCACTCACTCATATCTTTACGCTACGCGTAGGCATTATCACTTGCGCTTAACCAAACGTGCTTTATAGACCATATCGGATAAATATAACATCCAATTTCCCTAAATTGACAAGTGATTCCCCCATACCACCACCTCCTCCCACTCCATCCAATTAAAATGAAGGTAAAAATATAAAATATGACACACACATACACGCACACATCTGAATAAATCCCGTTACTGAAAGTAAAATAATTAACTAAAATTCGAAAGTGACCCACCCCCTCCCCCTAAAATAATCAAATATGGACAAAACAAACCAGTGATTGATATTATGAGCAACGCCCCACGCTGTCGGTGCTCGATGACACGGGATCAACCAAGTCATCGATGCTGACCATCCGAACTTGCCATGCACTTGTAAGAATTCTATCCCAGATTCCCCTCTCGGCTATATATATACTAGCAGAGCCCATTGTTCGCGTGAAGATCCGGGGTAGAATAGGTCTTCAGAACCCTCGCTTGCTGTAAAAAAGCGACTATGCTTGTCATAAGAGGCGACTAATGGGATCGGGTGGTCAGGCTCGCTGACTTGGTTGATGCATGTCATTGATCCAAACTGCGTGGATCGGTACTCATGAGGTCAAACACTGGATTGTCTGGTCCAGACTCGATTATTTACAGGCCGCCGTCATATAGCTGGAATATTGCTGAGTGCGTCGTAAAACAACAAACAAACAAAAAATCAGAAAGGAAAATGGCTAACTTTTACGAGGGCTTCTTTCGGTTTGAAAAAACGCAAAGAAACAGGATCATTTTTGCTTTGCAGCCTTCTTTAACTACCATTGCATCCCACGCGTAAGGAAATAAGTTGTTACACAATTATACTAGCATCGATCATCCAGGAGTTAGTATCATCTTCGTGTGTTACGCTACACTAGAAAGCCCAATGGGACGAGTGTAGAGTACAGCCCTACATCTTCACCAGTCTTGCCGTAGCCGTGGCTCTTTCAAACATAACAGCCTCCAACAGCATCCCAGAAATGTCCAAGAAGCCCACCCAACTAGTTTAAATAGACGTTTTCGTAAAACACAAGATACAAATTACTTACAGTAATGGAACCACTTGCAAATAACAGTTCACAATGTATGATCAGTTACATAATGCGAGTCTCTTGCCAGATAGCCTAATTCGATGTTTATTGTCCATTCAAAGCTGTTTTATTTATTTGTAAAATTGTACATGTATCATCCATTGGGTATTTTTGTGACATACCACCTTTGAGAAAGAATATTTTTGTTACATTTCGTATGGGGCGTCCGGGATAGAATTAGCGCCCAGTACCCCCTGCTTGTAACAGCCACCTAAAGGAGACAGGGTGGCTGGATTGTGTGTCATCGAACCCCAATGGCGTGGATCGTTGACTGTGCTTGCAGTCACTGGTCTGCCTGGTCCTGACTCAAATGTTTGCGGGCCGTCGCGATATGCCATATGATAAAATGGGCGAGTCCACGCGGCCTCCAAAAAGGTTTTGGTTTGGTTTGTTGTTTAATGCCGCACTCAGCAATATTCCAGCTATATGACTGCGGTCTGTAAATAATCGAGTCTGGACCAGACAATCCAGTGATTGACAACATGAGCATCGATCCACGCAATTGGGACCGATGTCATGCATCAACCAAGTCACCGAGCCTGACCACCCGATCCCATTAGTCGTCTTTTACGACAAGCATAGTCGCCTTTTACAGCAAGCATTGGTTGCTGAAGACCCATTCTACCCCGGATCTTCACGGGCCTCCTCCAGAAAGGGGTCAAGTACATTTGAAAGTGATATAGCATTTCTTGTCCAAAAAGCGTGGTAAAATATAGGTTATATTTGTGGCATTCGATTCGCTGTATGTGTGAAAGGTTGCGTTCGTGGTAACATTAATGTATCAGAATTATTAAACTTAATAATTCCTAAATACTTGCATGTAAAGTAGATAGAGCTAAACTCGACACCTTGCCTTACCCCAACTTCGACAGCATTGGTTTATATGTCACATCACAAACCACGCATGCTCACTGATGGTAGCTGTTTGTGTCTTGCTTAATGCCGCACACGACAAAACAACAGTTATGATGGAATCTGGGCCCTAAATTCTGCGACCGCCTCCGTGGTCTTGTGGTAGAGCGTCCGCCCGGGGAGCGGAATGTCCGTGGTTCGATCCCCGGCCGCGTCATTCCAAAAGACGTTAAAAGATGGTACTTGTTTTTACCCTGTCTGTCGCTCGGTATTAAGGGGATAAATCATGAACTGGTCGGCTCGGAGTCAGTACACTGTGTCTGAGTGGGGTATTCATGTTAAACTGCGGCATGGTATCTCAGTGTGCTAGCACTATAAATCGGCATCAGTCCGGACTAGTACAAGCAGCCACGCACACATACACGTGCATGCACGTCGCGATATAAGTGCAATAATCTTGGACGCGACGTTAAACCTAATTCCACCTCACCTCACCTGATAATCTGCTCAATGAGGGAACGGGCATGAGCGTCAAAGATGGATTTTATGAGCGCTTTGCAATCAATTTCATGCGGGTGTGCACAGTGTCACTTTTATTAATCTCCTTATGAGGATTCCAGGGTGGAATTTGTAGTCAGTAACCTTGCTTGTCGATGAAGCGACTTAATGGATGGGGTGGTCAGGCTTGGTGACGTGGTTCATGGTGTGTAATCGTATCCCGACCTTGTGGAGCGTTGGTCATACTATCAATCACTGGATTGTATGGTTCAGAATCGTTTATCTAAAGGCCGCCGTCATATATACAGTCAAGTCTCGTTAATCCGACATCGTTGGTTGCACATGATTGTGTCGGATTAACGAGTATGTCGGATTAACGAAATTAAGTGATTTGTGATCGAAAATCGGACGTCTTCACGATAGATAATAACCGTGTGTACCTTGTAATAAAATCATTAAAAACGAAATATTAATATTGTTATGTTGTTTATTCATTCATTCCTTAATTTATAATTAATGACTGTGCAAAAATAATAATAATTTTCCCATTTATACATAACAATAGAGACATTACTCACTGAATTTATCACATGATCAACGACACACGTTTCCTCGTGTAAATGTAGTTGGAATATTGCGAACACAATATAATATACTACTCAAAAGAAGTTAAGGAACACCCGATTATTTCATATTACTATAGTTCATCTATCATGGCATGCCAAATTAACTATAGTAATATGAAAGAAACAGGTTTTCCTTAACTTCTTTTGAGTAATATATATATATATATATATATATATATATATATATATATATATATATATATATATATTTATATATATATATATATATAACAAACAAAACCTTTCAGTTATACCATATAGCGTGTGAACGTAATGTGTGAGTGCTGCAGTGACTCTGTCGCTTTGGAGAAACTTTCGAATTAATATTATTTATTCTTTGTATCTTGTAGATTGAACGGCTAATACAGAATAAAAGAAAAGAAGATTAAAACGTCTGCAAACTTAAAATAAGACACGCTGAGGTCTATTCTGTTTCCTTAGTGGTATTCGCGTTAGTAACATGAGTTACATCCCTTAGATGAGGGCGCTCTCCCCGCCATTGCAACACCATGTGGAAATTCACGCCATTTTGACCACAGAACAGTCGTATTTCCGAAGAAAATCTATTCAGACTTTCAACTTTTGGTCTTAACTGGAAGAGTTCGCCCGGATTGGGCATTCCTATGTATGTGAGATTTTCACTTTGTTGCGGTGAATGGTGTGAAAATAGTATTTACTTTTATATTTTACTTTCTATCCCGGCATATGGTCATGCCGGCACGTGGTTTTTTACCTTCTCATAAACAAGTTTGTAATCAACGTCGATTTCGTCGTGGAAGGCAGCTTCCTTTATTGCGTTTACCAGACTCGGACAGAGCAAGCGAGCGACCAAAGTCGGAATATTCACTTTCTCCCATACTTGGCTCTAAACGTTTGGACAACGACTTCCTCGGACCTGTCTGACACTGACAGATGGGACACTGAAAAGCGCAAATATGACGATTTATTTTAGCACTCAAAACAATACGTTGACTGTACATCAATGTTTTGAAATGTCTAGATGATTTAAGCGAAAGTTTTGTGAAATATTGATAGAAATTAAGAAACATCAACCTCAAAACCAACCGTACCATATGCCTGGTGTATGTTGGCAAACAGTACGTGAACGTTTTTTGAAGTTCTTAATACAGTCGACTCGAAGTTAGATAACCCTAACTTATAATTTAATATTATATTGTTTAACCATATGTCATTCCATGTTTTCAAGATTTGCTTGCTTTGTTTATCATATATTATCATATATGTAAGGCTGTATTCAGAAGTGTAATCTCCATCTTTCATTGACGCCCTTCTTGTCGAAATTTGTAACACTGTAAATATTAAAGTTGTGTTATTCTTTTCATCATGTCCATATCATCTGAATTATCAAAGTAGACAATTTATGGATAACAACTTCTTTAATTACTGTAAAGGCGATGTTTGGGTATAGATTCTTATTATTCTGAATTATCATTAATCCCACACTGATATTTCGTTGAGTTACCTATTTTCGAACAGTCAAATTGATAATGATTTGTCTCATTGACCGTGTCATGATGACCAAGAAGAATAAAACAATATGATTGGGCAAACATTCATATTTTTGGAATAGGTTTCAACTTTCAATTCCTTTTTGAGTTTTAATGCCGACCTGCAAGAATTCTGTTGAGAACTGTGTGCCAAGACGTGTGTTCATTCATGGAAATACTGCTAAAGTACCAAACTAATCAGGTGCTGGAAAATAGGTGACATCACTCAATTGCAGCGTTAGTTGACACGAGGCAATGAAGGTCATGTCTTTTATCAAGATTTTTTCTTTTTGGGAATGTAGCTGAATTCTATTGTTGAAGACATCACTTGCTGATATGAAGCAGAATTTGAGTTTCCATTCCCTCATCCCTCGGAATATCAGCAATGCCATCTTACATTGTCTTCCATTTCTGGTGTCCCCCGCCGTGATATTGCTGGAATATTGCTAAAAGCGGCGTAAAACCATACTCACTCACTCTTACATTGTCTTCATTGTTCGATTGGTACGCCAGGATATACTATACATGCTATGGGTGCACTGTTTGAGTTATGACTATTCTCACATAACTAATAATCAGTGTTTTTGTTTTTCTGGTTCTGTATATATTAATTTGTGTTCCCTCTAGCACGTGCCTAAATCATTAATGTTTAACATTTATTATGACAAGGACACCTCCACCTCCACAATTGGGATCGTTAAGTCATTAATGTAAGATCTGTGTGTGCAATTATTGATGTTTCTTGTTGAACTTGACCCCATGGGAATTCCGGTTTAGAATTGGTCCGCAGCAACCTACGCTTGTTGTAAGAGGCGTCCAAATGGCTCGAAGTCTGTGTGGTCCAAACTCTTATTTACATATAATATATACATGTCATATTTTATCAACCCAAACTGGCTCCCACTGGAGATATCGCTTGGGTGAGATCAAGTGATATCTACACTGTAGATATCGCTGCAATGACATTGCATCTCAATGCTTTGCAGACCATTGTGACGTCATTGTTACCTTGACATCACAATCAAATGACATCACTAATGGCTCTGCTACTGAAGCTGTTAGCAGTGCTTTTTACACTTAAGACACTGCTTATTACTGTCTACAAACGGAAAAAGTTGGGAGAATGGTGTTGGATGATAAATAAAATCTCACCTGAGTTTCTTTTGATATCAGATATATCAATACTTGTTGATATATTTGATATCAAAAGACTCAGGTGAGATTCTCTATATAACAGTGTGTGGCGTTACACGAACAACTTTTTCAACTTGTCTGAATTTTAAATGTAGTCTAATCACTGCTGGTAATTGATAACTGATGAATAACAATTTTGATGTGATTCATATGAAAATCCTTTGATCATAGGGTGCAACAACTCAAGCATAAATAGCCTGTGACTATTTTACAGTAACTGACCAAGATGTCGAAAAGAAAAGATCATAACAGGGATGGCGAGGACAAGCTCACACGTATCGCCATCGTCAACAACGACAAGTGCAAGCCCAAGAAATGTAGACAGGAGTGTAAGAAGTCTTGTCCAGTTGTTCGAATGGGTAAGAGAATGTTTATAGAATTACTTGAATAGTTTTTGGTTTTGCATGGATTTATCTAGACCTGACCAGAGGCCGATATTTGCCACCGTCCCCTTCCCCCAAGTCTACAGCAAATGCCATTAAAAGTTCCCAAGTTGGAATTATATATTTCCTGCTTCATTTTATAACTATTTACTTATTTTGTGTCTGTGTAGAGGAAACCTGTATTTCACTGATAACAGGACCAAAAGACCTTGTAAACATGATAAAGGGGGAAGAGATTTTCATGCTTAGTTTTCTATTATTGCATCAAATCCAATGTTAAATTACGTTAAAATATCTCTGAATTTATGAAAATTAGAATTTTAGAAGAGTCCCAATTTCAAACAAATAACAAATTTATATATTTTAGTTCACTTAGTTCAGAATTCTACATAAATTCCCGTTTTTTATGCACATGGCATTGTATTTTTCAAAGTACTATTTGAATTTTTATGTACTAGACTCTAGTGATGGGCTAGGTAAGAAAATCACTTTTTTTTTCCCAAAAAAAATTGTCTGCCAAGTTCACTTAGCTTTGTATCCTAGATAAATCACTGTGTCACCTTATTCAGTCAGCATAAATCATTGTTCATAATATCAATCACTGGATTGTCTGGACATGATTATGTACGGGACATCTTCGTACAGCTGGAATATGGCTATGCGTCATTAAACATGTACATGTATGGCCCAGAAAGTTGGATCAGCCGTTGTCAACATGTTGTGGATGACAGCAACTGGTTTGTGAACCGTTTGTGCAAGAAGGGCGTGGAAGAAATGGGAGTAAAGTGTCATTTTTATCATTCATCTCTAAAGTATTTGTTGTTTCATTGCAGGCAAACTTTGTATTGAAGTTACCCCAGCAGATAAGATAGCCTTTATTTCTGAAGAACTGTGTATAGGATGTGGTATATGTGCAAAGGTGAGTCCACCGTCCACATCTCTAGTTTGAATGTTTCTGTTTCTTTAGAGGCTTATCTTTACTTAATCTGTTGAAAAGACCGTGTGTAAATTAAGTAATTGTTTTACATTTTTGTGGAAGTTTAAAATTTGAAGAATCATGAATTTACTATATTCATTATATATCATGATATATATTTAAGAGTCTTTTTCTATTTTGTTTATGAACTAACAAGGACAAAAAACATTTATAGGCTGTGTTTTCCCTCATGTTCTGGAGACATTTGTTCTGAAGTTTTTAAACGGGAGTTGAAAATATGTTTGATATGTAAACATCTTCTTTTTTTCAGAAATGTCCATTTGAAGCCTTGTCAATCATCAATTTACCTAGCAATTTACATAAAGAAACAACTCACAGATATAGTGCCAACTCTTTCAAACTACACAGGTGAGAACAGTAGCTGTTTTGTGGGGCATTAGAAGTTGTAGTACTAAGTAAGGATAAGATATATGGATGAATCTTTGTGAAGGTCCGGGGTAGAATAGGTCTGCAGTAACCCATGCTTGTCGTAAGAGGCGACTAGCAGGATCGCGTGGTCAGGCTCGCTGACTTTGTTGATGCGTGTCATCGCATCCCAATTGCCTGGATCGTTGCTCATGATGTCCATCACTGGATTGTCTGGTCCACACTCGATTATTTACAGACTTTTGTCACATAGCTGGACACTTGCGTGAGGTGTTAAACAACAAACAAAACAAATAAATATTGTTACATTTTGAAAGACCATGAAGATTCGGGTTAGAATTAGTCTTCTTGTCGTAAGAGGCGACTAACACAATTGGGTGGTCAGGCTCGCTGACTTGGTTGATGCATGTCATTGAAATCCCAAATGCGTAGATCGATGGTCATGTCAATCACTGGATAGTCTGGTCCATTACTTACAGACTCCCATATATAGCTGGAATATTGCCGAGTGAGGTGTTTAACAAGCAAGACAAACAAGTATATTTGCATGTCTCCATGAAGCAAAGAAGTGGTGGGGCAGCCTAGTGGTCAAAGCATTTTATCACTGCAACAAATACCCAGGGTGGCGGAAACCAAGAGTGAAAGTCAACCTTTCATGCATTGAGATAACATTTAAAAAAAATAAGTGTTCTATTTATTATGTTATTTCTCAATGATCTTCATATATGACTCTGAAACTATAGATGTGGGTACCCCTGCTTAGGGTCTGAGATGAGGCCCCAAGTGGGCAGCAAATTCCCAAATTGGAATTAAAATTTTCAAATTTGATTTTGATAAACTTAAGTTATGTAAAATGTTGTGCCCTTGCACTTCACTGATAACAGGACCATTAAAGAGTAAACAAAAACTTTTGAATGCTTAGATTTACATTTAGATTGCGTGCAATGTGAAAATAATTCTATTTTCATAAGCCCTAAACCTTAAAAAATAATGATATTTCTCCCCCTGATTTGCCTGATAGTGGCACTTTGTTTGGAATCCAAGATAATCCCTGAACTTTGTCATTGAGGCAGACAGAAAGTAGTTCCAGCCAAAAGTGTTCTTTCACTCGAGTGAAATACCAATTGTATTTTTCAAATAAATATTTCTTTTCTAAATAAATGATCATTGCACATTGACTGAGGGATATTATTTTAGTGCCATCGTGGCCTGTAGCTAATTCTTCTCTGCACTTACTTGGGTTCAGTCCAGCCCAAACCAGTTTCATGTTGGCAAAAGCAACTCTGCAGTGTTAGAAATAAGGACTAGTGGATATTATGACTAGTCCAGAGGACTAGTGGATATAATGACTTGTCCAGAGGACTAGTGTATATTATGACTTGTCCAGAGGACTAGTGGATATTATGACTTGTCCAGAGGACTAGTGGAGTTGATAGCTAGTCCTGCTAGAATGAGTTTGTAGCTAGTCCTGCTAGAATGAGTTTGTAGCTAGTCCTGCTAGAATGAGTTTGTAGCTAGTCCTGCTAGAACGAGACAAAAATGTTGACTATGTTTATGTTTTTTGTCAGTTTTATTAAGTTCCAATTTGTAGCAGAATTGAAGAGTTTTGAGATTGAGTTTTGGGACTAGTGGATATTATGACTTGTCCAGAGGACTGGTGGATATTATGACTTGTCCAGAGGACTGGTGGATATTATGACTTGTCCAGAGGACTGGTGGATATTATGACTTGTCCAGAGGACTGGTGGATATTATGACTTGTCCAGAGGACTGGTGGATATTATGACTTGTCCAGAGGACTAGTGTATATTATGACTTGTCCAGAGGACTGGTGTATATTATGACTTGTCCAGAGGACTGGTGGATATTATGACTTGTCCAGAGGACTAGTGGATATTATGACTTGTCCAGAAGACTGGTGGATATTATGACTGGTCCAGAGGACTGGTGGATATTATGACTTGTCCAGAGGACTGGTGGATATTATGACTTGTCCAGAGGACTAGTGGATATTATGACTTGTCCAGAGGACTGGTGGATATTATGACTTGTCCAGAGGACTGGTGGATATTATGACTTGTCCAGAGGACTGGTGGATATTATGACTTGTCCAGAGGACTGGTGGATATTATGACTTGTCCAGAGGACTGGTGGATATTATGACTTGTCCAGAGGACTGGTGGATATTATGACTTGTCCAGAGGACTGGTGTATATTATGACTTGTCCAGAGGACTAGTGGATATAATGACTTGTCCAGAGGACTAGTGGAGTTGATAGCTAGTCCTGCTAGAATGAGTTGATAGCTAGTCCTGCTAGAACGAGACATCCATGTTTACGTTTTTTGTCAGTTTTATTAAGTTCCAATTTGTAGCAGAATTGAAGAGTTTTGAGAACAGGTTCAAAATTATGGTACTTGTCGATGAGAACTAGCAGACTAGGATTTTTACTTGACCTCAGCACAATTAAGTAGTGTAGGGCTAGCGGACTTGCATGAATTTCGAGGCAACTCTGGTGGTTGGTTTTAGTGCCATGTTGACTGCTCTGTTGGTATCCTTGTATTGAATCGTGTGTGTTCATAAAGCCAATGATTAGTACACACTCAGAAATAAAATGTTGATGCAGTGTCCCTCTAAATGAGGCTTTATGTTGTGGAAGACATCTGAATGTCTTGAATTAGCAAGTATTGTGCATGTGACAGTGTGACAGTGCCAAAGCAGGCTTTGTAGATTTGTACTCTACTGATAGAGGACCATTAAAGAGGAATAAGTTTTATTTGCTTAGATATACATGATTAAATTGCAAGCAATGTTAAAATATCTCTATCTCAAGCTCATTTTTGAGCACCATAATGATATTTCTGCCTGATTTGCCGGCCAGTGGCACTAGGTTTGGAATCGTAGATACATCACTGAATGAACGTATGTCATTGAGGCAGACGGATATTCGTTCTGACCTGAGGTGTTCTTTCACTCGAATAAAATACCAATTGTATTTTTTCAAATAAATATTTAACTTCTACGTAACAATTCCGGCATTTGCATTTCATGATCGTGGGTTGGAATCCCTGTTTGACCCAATTAATGTTTCTACGTTCGTCAGCGCCATACCACCAAAGTGGTGAACGTCTGAGACCTGCATGATTTTAGGCTTTCCTCTCACATTAAGCTGACACGCTGTGATATAACTGGAATACTGTTAAAGCAAGCAATAAACCTAACTTACCTGTGTTTACTCGTGTCCACGTGTCCCGTGAAGATCCGGGGTAGAATAGGTCTTCAGCAACCAATGCTTGCCGTAAAAGGCGACTATGCTTGTCGTAAAAGGCGACTAACGGGATCGGGTGGTCAGGCTCGCTGACTTGGTTGATACATGTCATCGTTCTCAATTGAGTGGATCAATGCTCATATCAATCACTGGATTCTCTGGTCCAGGCTCGATTATTTACAGACAGCTGTCATATAGCTGGAATATTGCTGAGTGCGGTGTTCAACAACAAACCAAACCAAACCAAATCGTGTCCATGTCCACAAATTGGATCATTCAAATGGATTTTCATGAAGTCAATGATTAATACACATTCAGAATTAAAATGTTGACACTACTGATATAAGAGGTTAGGGATAAACCGGTCTCTACACGGTGTAGCTATTTCTTCTCTACTTTCAGATTACCCATTCCTCGACCAGGAGAAGTTCTTGGTTTGGTGGGGACAAACGGAATCGGAAAGTCTACTGCTCTGAAAATCCTAGCAGGAAAACAGAAGCCAAACCTTGGCAGATATAATGTAAGGCCATGGTTTTATAAACTGTTAAGGGATTTTTTTAGTTGCAATTGAGAACAGTTGTATATTGGGGAATTCAATTTTATTTGGTGAATATATGATATATACTACTCAAAAGGAGTAAAAGAACACCTGATTCTTTTATTAATATAGTCATTCTTGTAATAAGTCCTGCACCATGACTGTGCAATGTTTGTTTTTTCATAAAATAAATAATCTAGAAACGCATAAAAAAGCAAGTCTAGCTAGCTCTATTCCACAGTCGATGAAATCAGCATAGGGAAGTTTTTCTTCTTCTTTTTAGAGTCAGGATATTGTGTAATATGATAGACTTAATGTTAGTCTATCTCTTAATAGGGGGCACGGGTGGCCCAGTCGTCTAAGGCGCCGCGATTCGCTGTGCAGAGTTGCGTCCCTTGGGCACGCCAGAAACCTATGATTGTGGCTTCAAATCCCGGTTCGCCCCGATTATGTTTCTAGGTTTGTCAGCACCACACCCGTGCTCGTGGGTTTCACCGAAGTGGTAAACGTCTGAGACCTGCATCACTTCGGGCTTTCCTCCCACATTAAGCTGACACGCCGTGATATAACTGGAATACTGTTAAAAGCGGCGTTAAACCCAACTCACACTATCTAGTAATATTAAAGTAATTTTGACACATCAAATAAAATGTAGTTTAGTCTGCCAAAAATCTGTTGAAACCCTAGATAAGCGTGGACCAGCCTACTTGCAGCCAATGATTAGATGCTGTTCACATTCTTGATGTACAGTGGAGACACCTTGTATACATGAGGCTCCGGGGGCAGGCTGGAGAGGGGAAGGGAGGGGAGGGGAGGGTCAAGTCAACTACTTTGTAGAACCAGACAATATATATTCTCTTGTCTGATGCATTTCATCTTATGATAAAATGGTTGGTTTGATGTAAATTTGCAAATATAAGTTTTAAGATAGAAACAAGTTATAAAGGTACTATTTAGAGGCATATTTCCCACTTCCATAATTTGGTTTACTTCGGCATTGTTTTGGGAAGGAAATAATTAGCAGGCCTGAGAAACAGCAATACCTACCTACCGAGAGGACTGCCCTGAATAACTAACACAAATGAGCACAACAAGGCTCTGTACCAGTACAACACAAATCCAATATTTTCCCTGCTAATCTTCGAGCTAACCTGTCATGTTGCAGGAACCACCGGACTGGACGGAAATCCTGACATATTTCCGAGGGTCCGAGTTGCAGAACTACTTCACGAAGATTCTTGAGGATGATCTCAAAGCCCTCATCAAGCCGCAGTACGTCGACCAGATTCCCAAGGCCGTCAAGGTGAGTAGAGAGTAGAGAGGCGGCCTATGATGCATTGCTTTCCATTTCCCCTTCCTTTGAGGTCACTCACCATGTTGCTTGTGTGAAATGTTTATTCTTCATCTTGTTTTGAGATAAATTCTGAAGTTACTTGCACAAATTCAGATGCATGCAATGTTAATCTGAGCTATAATTGCGTGGACAGATGTTCGTGATATCAATCACTGGATTGTCTGGTCCAGACTCGATTATTTACAGACTGCCGTCATATAGCTGGAATATTGCTGAGTGTGGCGTAAAACAACAAACAACATACTTCTGGTTTTGATATGTATTGTGAAAAGACTTGTTAAATATCGGTGTATCTATGGGACCGCCTCCGTGGTCTAGTGGTAGAGCGTCCTCCCGGAGAGTGGAAGGTCCGGGGTTTCGATCCTCGACCGTGTCATACCAAAAGACGTTAAAAGATGGTACTTGTTGTAACCCTGTCTGGCGCTCGGCATTAAGGGGCTAAAACAAGGACTGGTTGGCTCGGAGTCAGTATACTGTGTGACCCGTGAAGATTCCGGGGTAGAATAGGTCTTCAGCAACCCATGCTTGCCGTAAAAGGTGACTATGCTTGTCGTAAAAGGCGACTAACGGGATCGGGAGGTCAGGCTTGCTGACTTGGTTGATGCATGTCATCGATCCCAATTGCGTGGATCGATGCCCATGATATTAATCACTGGATTGTCTGGTCCAGACTCGATTATTTACATACCGCCGTCATATAGCTGGAATATTGCTGAGAGCGGCGTTAAACAACAAACAAACGAAAACAGTATACTGTGTCTGAGTGGGGTATCCATTTTAAACTGCGGCATGGTATCTCAGTGAGCTAGCACTATAAATCGGCATCAGTCCGGACTAGTACAAGCAGCCACGAATGCACGTCGCTCTATAAGTGCAATAATCTTTGATGCAACGTTAAACCCCATTTCACCTCACCTCACCTCACCTCACCTCACCTCACCTCACCTCACCTCACCTCACCTCATTATATTTTGGTCATTACTGTCGTAGCATCACCCAACACTCACCATTTTAGAGCAGCAGTCTGCATGGATATCATTTTTGTTTTCAAGATCAGTGTTGAAGCTACAGTATAAGCTATGGTTATAACGAACTCAAAGGGACCACTAATTCGTTGTAAGCATATATATATACAGCAAATGGCTGGGAACAAAAAAAAAGTTCATAATATCTGTCAGTTCGTTGTGTGTTCGTTATTTGTCTATTATTATATTCATTGCTTGCTGTGAGTGGACACTGAGTACGCAGTTTGAGGAAAGTCGATGATTAATCTATTTGCTGTTCACATTCTGATTGAACATTGAGGACAAACACTGGTATGAGACTTTCTCCGAATATTGACTGCTGGAGTTGTTCTGTTGGAAGCCTTGCTGTTGATGTACTGTGTTGTTGTGAACAGGGGGCGGTTCAGATGCTGCTGGACAAGAAAGATGAGATGGAGAACCAGGTTGACATCTGCACACAGCTAGGTACGTAACTGACTGTTGTCAGGTGATTATATTGGATCACATGGTGAAACTTTGTTGAATTCATATGATTACACCCCAGCTGCATGGGATACACATACTATCAACCACTGGTACTCATTATATCAACCACTGGTTTGCCCAAACTAGGTTGCTGATAGCTGACTTGATGTAACATGCACATTGCTGGCTGTAGCGTAAAACAAACAGAAAAGATGTTTTGTGCCAATTGTCTGCTTCATAGGTTTTTGTGTAGCAGGTCTGGTAATGTGTAGAATAAAACTAGGAGGTTTTACTTTTAGCCTTTCTTAAACTATTGCCATGGAATAAGTTATCTATGTCTATTTATGTTATCTTTTCCTGGAATGACCCATTTTCTGGCGGGTGAAAAATTAAAGTGAGTGTTTCAGACTTCTCTATGAATTTCTCTTTTTTGTTTTGTTTTCTTAATATATATCTTCTATTTGTAACTTCGAAGATTTTGACATGGCATCTCCATGCTAATGTAGAATCCTAGATATATGGAACATTTCCCTTGAAGTGTATCCAATGATGGACACTATTCCTTGGGACAATTCCGATGAAAGCATGTTATAAGACTATTTATGATTACATTTCAAGCCTGACTGTCCTTGGGGAATGTGATCCAATTATTGTGAAGAAAAGGCTGAAATGTAAACCCTTGTTAATTGTTGCCCTCTACTTTCAGACCTAATGCATGTACGGGACCGAAATGTGGAGGACTTGTCCGGTGGGGAGCTGCAGAGATTTGCTATAGCTATCGTCTGTGTGCAGAAAGCAGACATGTAAGCTATAATATCACTTGGTTTTATGTCTCTTAAGAAATAGCTTCGACCAAGACTTGCACTAAGCCAATGTGTGCCATGAGCTTCTGAAACCCTGTGAAGGTCCAGTGTAGAATTGGTCTTCATCAACCCATGCTTGTCGTAAGAGACTAACGGGATAGTAGTGATCAGGCTTGATGACTTGGTTGTTGTATCCCATTTGCATAGATTGATGCTCATGCTGTCAATCACTGAATTGTGTTGTCTAGACTTGATTATTTACAGACTGCCGTCATATAGCTGGACTATTGCATAGAAACAACAAACAAAAACTTGTGAAACTCGGCACTTTATCTACATGGCATCTCCATGGTAATGTAGAATCCTCAATATATGGAACATTTCCCTTGAAGTGTATCCATGGGTAGCAGATCTCTTGATCACATGTAAATTGGACTACTCACGTATGGCCTATAATCATGAAAATGTAACTTGTTTGACATTTTGTGCTGAATGTTAGTTCCTTACAGAGTGTGTTTGTGTTCAGTTTCATGTTTGATGAGCCATCTAGCTACCTGGACGTGAAGCAGAGGTTAAAAGCTGCCCTGACGATCCGTAGCCTCATCCACCCAGACAAGTACATCATCGTGGTGGAGCATGACTTGTCTGTTTTGGACTACCTGTCCGACTTCATCTGTTGTCTGTATGGCGTACCAGGGGCCTACGGCGTAGTCACTATGCCCTTCAGTGTCAGGGAAGGTTAGTATTCCCAGGGCAGATTTACCAGGGGCCTACGGGGTGGTCACTATGCCCTTCAGTGTCAGGGAAGGTTAGTATTCCCAGGGCAGATTTACCAGGGGCCTACGGGGTGGTCATTATGCCCTTCAGTGTCAGGGATGGTTAGTATTCCCAAGGCAGATTTACCAGGGGCCTACGGGGTGGTCATTATGCCCTTCAGTGTCAGGGAAGGTTAGTATTCCCAGGGCAGATTTACCAGGGGCCTATGGGGTGGTCACTATGCCCTTCAGTGTCAGGGAAGGTTAGTATTCCCAGGGCAGATTTACCAGGGGCCTACGGGGTGGTCACTATGCCCTTCAGTGTCAGGGAAGGTTAGTATTCCCAGGGCAGATTTACCAGGGGCCTACGGGGTGGTCATTATGCCCTTCAGTGTCAGGGATGGTTAGTATTCCCAAGGCAGATTTACCAGGGGCCTACGGGGTGGTCGCTACCAGGTGCTTACGGGGTGGTCGCTATGCCCTTCAGTGTCAGGAATGGTAGTATTTCCAGGGCAGATCGATGCTCATGCCAATCACTAGATTGTCTGGTCCAGACTTGATTATTTACAGACCGCCATCATATACCTGGCATTGCGGCATTAAACAGGTTAAACACAACAAAACAAAACAAGAACAAACAAAAAACTCAGTGTTTCTCTGTAACAAAGTGTAATTTCACTCACACTTCTACATAAACTGGTGTCATTGTCTAAGCACCAATTTTGTTATAAAGATTTGTGACATTTTATCTAAGATTTGTTACAATAAAAGAATTTGTTGTTGAAAAATCTTTTACTAAGAAGTAACTTGTTTTCAAATCATCTGCAACTTGGACAGAGATTTACAACAATAGCTATTTCAGTTTTGTCGATTTATCATGATATATCATTTTGAAAATAGTATACTGGTTCCTTTTTTGTACTGGAGGACATATTGATATTACAGGTATCAACATTTTCTTGGATGGGTTTGTTCCAACGGAAAACCTTCGATTCCGAGAAACATCCTTGACCTTCAAGGTAGCAGAAACAGCCATTGAGGAGGAGATTAAGAGGGTTTGTCGCTACGAGTACCCTGAAATGATGAAAAAACTTGGTAAGTTTTCTTCTTTCTATTCTGGCTATTCTTTCCAAATAGTGTTGGAACTTTCTCAGTCAGTGGTGCATTTCCTAATACCTACTGCAAGTTTTGGGAGTGCATTAGACTTGCTAATGCTACTGAGCTATCTGGGATCTGGGATCTGGGTTAGGTCCTAAGCAACCCATGCTTGTCGTAAAAGGCAACTATGCTTGCCATTAGAAGTGACTGAGGGGATCGGGTGGTCAGGCTTGCTGACTTTGTTGATGATGCATGTCATCGTATCCGAATTGTGTGGATCTATTCTCATGTTGTCAATCACTAGATTGTCTGGTCCTGACTCGATTATTTACAGACTGCCGTCATATAGCTGGAATATTGCTGAGTGGGGCGTTAAACAACAAACAATCTTATTATGAGTTGTCATGCACAAACTCGGCTGCAGGCACAGGTAGTACAATGGTGGAGGGAGCTGTGTATTGTGTCCCTTTTTCTCGCCAGGATCCGCTGATCGTGTGTTATTACTTGAGGCGTTCTTCCCACATTAAGCTGACAGTGATATATTGGGAATACTGTTCAAAACAGTGTTAAAACCAACCCAACCCAACTCACTAACTCGATGGTGGGCATTGGGGACCCAGTCGTCTAAGGCGCCCTGATTCGCTGTGCAGAGTTGTGTCCCTTGGGCACGCCAGAAACCTATGATCGTGGGTACGAATCCCAGTTCGCCCCAATTATGTTTCTAGGTTTGTCAGCACCATACCCGTGGTCGTGGGTTTCACCGAAGTGGTAAACGTCTGAGACCTGCATCACTTCGGGCTTTCCTCCCACATAAAGCTGACACGCCGTGATATAACTGGAATACTGTTAAAAACGGTGTTTAACCCAATTCACGCATGCACTAACTGAAGGACATTTCTGGTGTCCCCCGCCCAATTCACGCATGCACTAACTGAAGGACATTTCTGGTGTCCCCCGCTGTGATATTGCTGGAATATTACTAAAAGGGGTGTAAAACAATAATCACTTGATCTAGTCATGCAAATTATCACATAAATATTTCCATAAATATGACTAGTGAACTGTTAGTGACTGGAAATGTCACAAGCAGGGTCAATGGGATTTTATGCATCACTGTCAGTCTTGTGTTGGTGCCTTGTAAACTTCTGTCCAACCCCTCGTCACACATGGAATTTATGAAGCAATCCACCAAATGAAATGGACCCGTGAAGATCCGGGGTAGAATAGATCTTCAGCAACCCATGCTTGCCATAAAAGGCGACTATGCTTGTCGTAAGAGGTGACTAACGGGATCAGGTGGTCAGACCCGTTTACTTGGTTGATGCATGTCATTGATCCAAATTGTGTGGATCGATGCTTATGATGTCAATCACTGGATTGTCTGGTCCAGACTCGATTATTTACAGACCGCCGTCAAAGCTGGAATATTGCCGAGCGTGGCATTAAACAACAAACAAACCAAATAAAATGTACCTCGAGTAACCCCTTATTTGGACATTGTCCATTAGACATGTTAGATGCCACAGGACTTTTGCAATTTCTGGCCCAAAATGTGACAAAGACTAAAACAGTACGGAACTTACAAATCATTCAAGAGACGGATACTTGATGCAATTAGAGTTTGTTTTATAACTTGGCAATAAGTATCGCTCACAGGGTATCTTTTTATAACATGTCTACCTTTCGTCTCCAGGAAACTTCCGGCTGAAAATAGACCCCGGCGCCTTCACAGACTCGGAGATCATTGTCATGTTGGGGGAGAACGGGACTGGCAAGACGACCTTCATCCGCATGTTGGCAGGGAAGCTGGAGCCTGATGAAGGAGGTAGGGAACTGTGGAACTGGGCATTGTGGGTAGTGTCAGCAGAATTTTTATAGATCTGCTTTGAGGCCTTGTATCTGCAGTTGGCAAAGTTCCCAAATGGGTTTTAATAAGTTCTGTTTCATGTAAATATAGTTACTAACAGCTCCAGAAAACATTTTGAGCAATTGAGTTTTTACTCTGGGGTTTCTATTTTAATTGGGTTAATACATTTTTCATTGGGAAACCAATGTTTTATCAATCATCTATTCATCACTCTATTGTGTTTTCCCGAAAATAAGTGAAGATTTTACAAAAAATAAAATGTTTTAGATGTATTGAACTATTCTAAATATATAGGCTTGACTCTGAAAGTAAATCAGCTCGTAATTGTGTTTCGGAAATAAGCTCCTTTGTACACATGCTGAAAAAGCTTCATTGTGTATTTGCGTGTGCTGTTTTTATTTTATGTGTTTTTCATTTAATGCATGCCTTTCTGTGCGCAAGTTAATTGAAAGTAATTGGGTTTTGAATATTATTGGGGGGTATTTTTGGCAAAAACGCTGCTTATCTGTAGCTCTGTACTAATTAACTGTGATGGCTTGAACTCTATTTGTGGCAACTGTGAGCCAATGCAGGGATATTCAAGCTATGTGCAAATACTTAGTTACACTAGGCTCCCAGCACTCCATGCTTGTCATAAAAAGCAACTTAATGGGGTCAGCTGTTCATATCAACCACTGGTCTGTTTGAACTAGACCAGAATTTCTAGGCTCAATCGCAGCACCACCAATGGCTTTTACAAGTTATGTCCCTTCTACTGACCAATCAAAATCCACCTCTCACATCACTTTGATTTGCTTCAAATAAAATGGCGCGCCCAGTCAAGACGATATGATTGACAATATCGTGAGCATGTTAATTAAAAACATGAAGAAAAAAAGGAAAATATCTTACGCTAAGTTGATGGTAAACATGCTTTGCAAATCCTGCAATCAACTAAAATCTATATGGCAAGTTTGATTGGACTATGCATGCACTCATTAGTCCAGCCAAAATATAACTCCATAATTCCCGCCTAGTTTGGCTAGGTCGGAATGTGGACTTTAATAGTCAGTTAACTCCCTTGCCTCGGGTACATGGCTGGAATATTGGGTTGACCTTCATACATGCCTTATGCTGTAAACTTGCTTCCCAGGCAGGACCCCTGTGCTGAACATCAGCTACAAACCCCAGAAGATCAGCCCCAAGCATCAGGGCACAGTCCGCCAGCTCCTCCACGAGAAGATCCGGGACGCCTACATCCACCCCCAGTTCGTCACCGACGTCATGAAGCCCCTGATGATCGAGAGCATCATTGACCAGGAGGTACAGAGTTTTCTTTTATCTCGTAGTGGAAATTTCGTCTAAAGCTGTTGAAGCTTTTCCTTTTGCCTATGATTAGAAAGGAGATCTTAGCAATGGATGCAGATAGATTTATCCCGAAAATGAGGCAACCTGTCAAATCGGGGAATGTGCAACACTGTGGGACGATACACTGATGCATTGGTGGATCGCAATCTTTTTCTTCTCGATACATGTATCAATCACAGTAAAAAGTAAAAAATATTGACATACCTTAAATGTTTGCTCTAATACCTGTTGCACCAAACACTAATTAGTAGTGAAATTTAGTAGTGAAAAGGTAAATATTTTTATCCATTGCACCATACTTGACACTACCAACTGGAATATGTCGGTGTGCCAGGTATTTGGCCATCCTGTCTGTGAAAAGATGGCTTATGCAACACAAATAAGAGCATAAGCATGCATCGTGATACGTATCTGATGACACAGGTGGTGTATTATACCCGCCCTAATATGCAATGTCTAAAATTGGTCCCAAGTGATATTGAAGAATATTGATCTATTAAGCTAAATTCAGGTTTGACAACTGCATCACGTCAGTGACTGAATGCTCGTTGCAACAAATATTGCAGTTTCAAATCATCTATTATGCGTGAGATGCAAAGACAAGTATCAATAGGCTGGAGAAATTGTCAGTATTCAGGTAGTCAAAACATGTGGATCACCAATCAGCATAAACCGACTGTAACTGAAATTGCGCCTATCTAGTACTACCTCATTCTTATTCCTTTACTCAGGGCGGTGGAATTGCCAAGTAGTTAAAGCATTCGCTTGTCATGCCGAAGCTGTGGGTTAGATTCTCCCACATGGGTGCAATGTGTGAAGCCCATTTATGACGCCCCCCCCCACTGTGATGTTACTGGAATATAGCTAAAAGCGGTGTAAAACCTTACTCATTCATTTGCTGCACCTTGATCCAAGTGGCCATGTCATGAGAAAACACAGCCGATTGTACAGCATCATCTTAAAAGATACAAAATATTTTAGCACCAGGCACACTTTCTGCCCATGATTAGAAAGATGATCTTAGCAATTGATGCTGATGATTTATCCCGAAAATGAGGCAAATGTGTTAATAACAATTAGTGAGAGCTTCCTGATTGGTTGGATCACCTAGTGGAAGTTAGCATTCTGGTTGGACTTGACAATATCGGCCAAATGTATCGTTAGGTGAGTCAAGTTTGAAAACCAGCAAGCGTAACTGAAACTGCTCATATCTAGTGCTACCTCATTTTTATTATCGAAACGGGCTCCGTCCGTCCGTCCGTCATGTTTCGTTTCTGGAGCATAACTCAAAAACCGTTCAATACTTTTTCATCAAACTTTGCAGGTCTGTCGTGTACATGCTGAACTGGTGCCTTTTGCTATTTAGAAATTTTAGAAACTTTTATTTTTTACGTTTCCATGGCAACAAGATGGACTTAGGTTCCAAACTCTTCTTTTTTTTACAATTTCCATGACAATTCCACCTCGGTTTAAAAAGGTTAGGGTTTGTTTAGATTTCATTATGTCATAAATTCTGCAACAGGGGTGGGGATTATAGCCTCGTTAGTGACAAACTCTTGTTCCTTTAATCGGGGAGGTTGGGTAGCCAAGTGGTTAAAGTGTTCACTTGTCATGCCGAAGATCTAGGTTTGATTCCCCACATAGGTACAATGTGTGAAGCCCATTTATGATGTCCCCCGCCATGATGTTACTGGAATATAGCTAAGAGTTGCAAAAAACCATACTCAGTCACCTTGACCCAAGTGGCTATTTCATGAGAAAACACAGCCGATTGTACAGCATCATCTTAAAAGATACAAAATATTTTAGCACCAGGCACACTTTCTGCCCATGATTAGAAAGATGATCTTAGCAATTGATGCTGATGATTTATCCCGAAAATGAGGCAAATGTGTTAATAACAATTAGTTATTGTTTATTGGTTGGATCACCTGGTGGAAGTAAGCATTCTGGTTGGACTTGACAATATCGGCCAAATGTATCGTTAGGTGGGTCAAGTTTGAAAACCGGCAAGCGTAGCTGAAATTGCTCATATCTAGTGCTACCTCATTTTTATTCCTTGTCTTGGGGCGGTTGGGTAGCCAAGCGTGAAGCCCATTTATGATGTCCCCTGCTGTGATGTTACTGGAATAGAGCTAAGAGTGGCGTAAAACCATACTCACTCAGTCACCTTGACCCAAGTGGCCATTTCATGAGAAAACACAGCCGATTGTACAGCATCATCAGGAGTTGTTTGATGTGAGCTAAAAGATCAAAATATTTTAGCACCAGGCATACTTTCTGCCCATGATTAGAAAGATGATCTTAGCAATTGATGCTGATAGATTTATCCCGAAAATGAGGCAAATGTGTTAATAACAATTAGTGAGAACTTCCTTTTGTTGTTGATTGTTTGGCATTATGGTTTGACTTGATAATATCGGCCAGATGTATTATTAAATGGGTCTTTCCTCCCACATTAAGCTGACATGCCGTGATATAACTGGAATAATGTTAAATGCGGCGTTAAACCAAACTCACTCACTGTTTGTAATAATACTCCATGTAACAAGACTAAAATGAAATGGAAATGATGTTAAGAGCCATGGTTTGGGTTAATAGTTTGTCACAGACTGTAGTCTGATAGCTGTCAGTTCAACAGGACTTGGTCAGTTACCATCTGTCCACATGTGACCCACGTGGAGACAAGGGACCTTATGGGTGCTAGGATACAATTGTTTCATGACGTAATATACACATGTGAAGTGAACAGTGAAGATGGCCATGTGTGATGTGTGTCTCTGTAATAAATATGAATTGAATCTTGTGAATTGTATTTTTGTGTTCTAAAGATGCTGTAGTTATAAAATGTAATGAATAGTCGATGTGATTTTTCATCCATCAGGTCCCTTAGCTCATGTTTGGTAACATATAGTTTCCTTCACAAAGTGGCCCTTTCCTGGCCAACCGTCCACAAAGGATCACCAGATAAGATCTGGTAGTTCAAGTCAACACTTGTCTGTCAAGAAAAGCTTTAAGTTTTAAAACCAGGCACACATTTGCCCATGATTAGAAAGAAAATCTTAGCAATTGATGCTGATAGATATCCCGAAAATGAGGCAAATTTGTAAAACTGAAAAAGGCAAAAAGAAACAACATCATTTGTTGCCCAGGATTGTCAATGTGTTGGTGATTTGATTATTAATGTGCTGCTGCTACTTGTCCTCCACAGGTCCAGAACTTGTCTGGTGGTGAGTTGCAGCGTGTGGCCTTGACCTTGTGTTTGGGAAAACCGGCAGATGTGTATCTGATAGATGAACCCTCCGCCTACCTGGATTCCGAACAGCGTCTCCACGCTGCCAAGGTCATCAAGAGGTTAGTTATGGAAAGATACGATGTATTGAATGCCAAGTACAAGATTGTGTCAGTGTGCCCAAAAGCTGTTAGTCATGTTGATTGCTGCTCATGCTATCACCCACTTTTTTGCCTGGACCATGCATGGCTATTTATAGAGTGCACTGATATTGCCAAAATGATTTCAAAATCATATTTGTCTACAGAAACACCCATTCAATGATTTGATCAATGCAAATGCTCTTAATCTTGTATTGAATAATAAATGTATCCCTATCAAAACTGCCTTTGGGGTCACCCACACCAAAAATGTAGTTTAATTTGGTCTGTCTTTTTTAATCCAGGTTTATTCTACACGCCAAGAAGACTGCCTTTGTTGTAGAGCACGATTTCATCATGGCTACCTACCTCGCCGACCGAGTCATCGTCTTTGAAGGAAATCCGGGTTTGGACACAAAGGCTAACACGTAAGTACAACTAAGATAGGAGTGGATTGTTGACTTGTTGATTGCATGTCATTGTCCCCTACAGAATAGGTTGTTGCTTATGATATCAACCACTGGTTTGCCTGGCCCAGACTGTTGTTTACAAGCAGTTGTGATTGTGCTGGAATATTGCTGACTTTGTTCGTAGAACAGTTCATCAAGCCTGATGACTTTTTATCCCCCCAGCATATCATGCATGCAGGGGGATATAGTCATTATCTGTCCATATTTCGTTTCCAGAGCATAATTCGAAAATGGTTTAAGATTTTTCATCCAAACTTGGTACCTGTATTAACTAGGAGTTGAAGTGGTGCTGTTGCTGTTGTGGGGGCAGGGGGATTTGTCATTTTCTCATGACTCTTGTTTAGAGTTTTTTTTTGTATGTTATCACTTTTCAGGCAATTACATTTTCCTTGTTTATTTTTTACCTCGGATTAGGGAAGGTGACCTGACTGTTATGTGAAGCGTTAATGTGTCATTGTCTGTCTGTTACAGCCCCCAGTCCCTTCTGAACGGCATGAACAGTTTCCTGATGTCATTGGAGATCACATTCAGAAGAGATCCCAACAACTTCAGACCCAGGATCAACAAGCGACACTCAGTCAAGGTATTTGTCCCCAAGTGCTGCCTTTGCTTTCTGTGGAGATGCTTGCTTAGAATTGGTCACCAACATGAAGCTACATAATTGATCAGGTTGTCCTTTGCTTGCCTGTGGTGATATCTTGGTTATTACATGTCCCTATATACTGTAAAACTGGGAATTCTGGGTTAGAATTAGTCCCCAACATGAGGTGACATAATTGATCAAGTGGTCAGACTCTGACCTTTGCTTGCCTGTGGGGATATCTTGGTTATTACATGTCCCTATACACTGTAAAACTGGGAATTCTGGGTTAGAATTGGTCACCAACATGAAGCAACATAATTGATCAGGTTGTCCTTTGCTTGCCTGTGGGGATATCTTGGTTATTACATGTCCCTATATACTGTAAAACTGGGAATTCTGGGTTAGAATTGGTCACCAACATGAAGCAACATAATTGATCAGGTTGTCCTTTGCTTGCCTGTGGGGATATCTTGGTTATTACATGTCCCTATATACTGTAAAACTGGGAATTCTGGGTTAGAATTGGTCACCAACATGAAGCAATATAATTGATCAGGTTGTCCTTTGCTTGCCTGTGGGGATATCTTGGTTATTACATGTCCCTATATACTGTAAAACTGGGAATTCTGGGTTAGAATTGGTCACCAACATGAAGCGACATAATTGATCAGGTTGTCCTTTGCTTGCCTGTGGGGATATCTTGGTTATTACATGTCCCTATATACTGTAAAACTGGGAATTCTGGGTTAGAATTGGTCCCCAACATGAAGCAACATTATTGATCAGGTTGTCCTTTGCTTGCCTGTGGGGATATCTTGGTTATTACATGTCCCTATATACTGTAAAACTGGGAATTCTGGGTTAGAATTGGTCCCCAAAATGAGGTGACATAATTGATCAAGTGGTCAGACTGACCTTTGCTTGCCTGTGGGGATATCTTGTTTATTACATGTCCCTATATACTCTAAAACTGGGAGTTCTGGGTTAGAATAGTCCACAACACCTGCTGGTCATAAGAGGTGATGTAATTGATCAGGTGTTCAGGCTCGTCACTTGGTTGGCGTGTTATTGTACCCTGACAGCGTGGGTTGTTGCTCAGTCACTGGATTGAGTCGGTTATTTGGGACGCCATCATATAGCGGCGTTAAACACACATACACCTTTGCTTGTCCAGTAGGAGCTTCACACAGCCGTTCAGGACTGTAATGATATGGTCTTACTGTGGAAATTCCAGGTTGAAATAGGTTCCCACCAACCTTGAAGAGGTGTCTTTGTGGATCAGGTGGTCCGACGTGTGACTTTGTTGATTGCGTATTATTGTACGCTGATGACTGGTACTTGACGTAATATCTATCGGCTGCCCTGGTTCGTACACAATTGTTTACAGGACACGAATATTGCTGAACAACAAATTGCAAGGACCTGATATGATAAATGTACTCAACACTTGTGTTGATGAGCTGTATTGCCATCATCTTTGGGATAAAATTGGAAGCCAATATGCAGTTAGTGCTGGTACTCTATCAATGGTGTTTTAAACAATTATTAAGTGCAATAGTTAAGATGCCCCCAATACTCTCCCTTCTTATCCAGTATGTGTGCCATATGGTAACATTATACCTTACAATACAAATTGTTTTCTTCAGGATGTGGAACAGAAGAAGGGAGGGAACTACTTCTTCCTCGAGGACTGAGCCGTGGGAAGGCCACATTTCCACTTAGGTCAATGGCGGTGTCTGGCTGCAAGGGGAGACAACCACTCAGCTGCAAGGGGAGACAACCCCAGGGGTGGCCGATCTGAAGAGGATGTCCTTCCTCAGTCTAATTTATTATATGCTCAACTCATGAAGTTGTACAAGCCTGAAGACTAAACTCTGCCTTTCTAAACTCTGGAATGCACTGTTTACTTAGCTTCTTCAGAGCATCTATCAAATGAATTACAGCATAATGCTGTACAGAACAGATGAATTGTGCCATTGATACACTAGATTTCAAATTCATATTTCACAAGTAACTTGAGGTGCAGTGGCTACATGTGTAGCCAAGTGTTTACCTGTCGTGCTGGTAGAAAAGTTGGGATGGTTAAGCATACCATAATGTGCTTGTTGCAGAGTTCCAACGAGTAAACAACTCATTTTCAAAACAATGTCAGAATTTTTGGTCTGATCCAAAAGGTACCGGTTATCAAAGCTGTGTATATGATGTATATTGTAAAATAAAATTTATATTTGTAAATATATTGTATCATTTTACCTGATTAAATACGGGGGTCAACATATGTCGGTCAACACATTGGTGGAAGCACAGCGCAAATGTCCATTTTAAACTCAGTTTGCCATAGAAATATTCCATTTTCTAAAATTCATGTACATTTGAAGTAGGATAATATTCTGTGTGATAATTAAGATCAAATCTTTGAGTTTTGGAATTGGGTTGGGCAGGTGAAATTAAATAAAGCTTTGAACTGTTGATATTTCCGTGTTATTCTTTCAGCAGACTTTAATGCAATATGGATGAAAAGGATGTGTGCTACTCGGGTTCACCAGAAGATAATGTCTTACTCAAAGTACACATGTTGAAATGAGACCACCTCGGTGGCATAGTGGATAGAGGTTTGGCCAGTAGAGGGGAATGTCAGGGGTTCGATCCCCGGCTTCATCCTACCAAAAGACTTGTACTTCTTGTTAGCCTACCTGGCACTTGGCATTAGGTTAGCAGGGAGTCGGCATACTGTGTCTGACTGGGGTATCCATGTTTCGCAGCAACATAGTGTCTCTGGCTAGTGCACTTAACTTGAACGCAAGGTTTAACGCCATTTCACCTCGCCTCACAACAAGTTGAAATGAGGTAAGATTGTACCAAGGAAGGAAGTGTTAAAATAGGTACATCCAGCAACAAAGACTAAGTCATAGTGATCAAAGAGATTGGATGCCCTGTTGATATAGCTGCCATGCGAGTGATGATCCAGCAAAAAAACCGAAAGTCATGGTGATCAAAGAGGATGGATGCCCTGTTGATATAGCTGCCATGAGAGTGATGATCGTGGGTTGGAGTCCCAGACACACCCTGATGATATTCTACGTCTGTCTGTGGGTTTCATCAAAGTGGTACATCTTAGACCTGGATGACCTTGGGCCTTCCTCCAACATCAAGCTGAGGCAGTGATACAGCTGGAATACTGTTTTCAAAACTGCTTTGAACTCAACTCAATGTGCAGTTGGCCAGTTTCCAAGTCCTACCACATGACATGTTGGTGCTGTGTCTTTCAAAGGCCAAAGTCATCTTTGAGGTTATTGTGGAATTGGTTGTGGCATGTGTTGCCAGTTACTTTGTATATTTACTTGCACTATCCTGAGACTTTGGTAATTAGATCTTACGACGTTATCGTATTGATAACGGTCAAGATCTGGAAGTACGTGATGGTGCATTAATACTTTGGGGAAATGGCTGGGAGGCTGCTATTTTTTTGAAGTACCAAACACATTTACTTAGAGATGTTATTTTCATAACATGCACAATGTGGTCCCTTTGGCTTCTGTTTGGTTGCTAGGTGAGAGGGAACTATTTGCCTGGTCTCCAGGAGTGAAAAAGACTGGTTCCATTGTATGGGGGGACATCAAACACGTTCTCATCGGAATAGAATTTTAAAAATAAATTGGTGGATAAAACAAGCACTGGCCTGCTCAGTCGTCCGTATCATGTGTCGGAGGGGGTGTTCATGTTCAATCTGCGGCATGGTATATCCTGTCTCGCACTATAAACTCCGGCTTGTACAAGCAGCCATTCGCACGAACATGCATGTCGTTATATAAGTGAACTAATAGACGCCAAACCGCATTGCACCTCGCCTCGCTGTGAGGTAGATATTTATAGTCCTCCCAAGCGTTCCTGTTTGCTTTCCTCATTAGTGGACCGCCTCCGTGGTCTAGTGGTAGAGCGTCCGCCCGGAGAGCGGAAGGTCCAGGGTTCCATCCCCGGCCGCGTCATACCAAAAGATGTTAAAAGATGGTACTTGTTGTTACCCTGTCTGACGCTCGGCATTGAGGGGTTAAAGCAAGGACTGGTCGCCTCGGAGTCAGTATACTGTGCCTGAGTGGAGTATTCATGTTAAACTGCGGCATGGTATCTCAGTGGGCTAGCACTATAAATCGGCATCAGTCCGGTCTAGTGCAAGCAGCCACACACACACACACGTGCATGTACGTCGCTATATAAGTGCAATAATCTTGGACGCGACGTTAAACCCAATTTCACCTCACCTCACCGTTAATCGCGCCAATAACAGTATCCCCGCAATGCCACGGTGGGGGACACAAAAAAACGGTTTCAGTTGTACCGACGTGGGAACACGAGCCGCCTATTCAGCGGACAGAGGGAAAGATTTGTCGGACTGCTCCACCACCAACCTATTACGAATGTGACACGAAGCGTTTCCTTGGGACGGATCAGGCACAATGGGTTGAAGCTCTCATAAAATATCTCATCGGCCTTCATTTGGTGGACCGAAAACGAGCTGTGAAGAAACGTTCCTGCCCAGCGGCCTTGACCAATAACGTTTTCTCAAACGTGTTATATTTCCTGCTCGGGAAGTCGAGTAGCGAAAAGACCTGGGTTAGATTTCCCATATGGATATTATTCACGGGTTTGCCTGGCCATGTCTTGTGTATTTGCAGGGAGCCGTCACATGGGTGGAATATTGTCGACAGCTATGTTAAAGGAGAATCACTGTCAATCACCAGCTCTCCTCATAAGAGCGCCTCCGTGGAACCTTGAAGATCTGGGTTAGAATAGGTCTTCTGCAACCCATGCTTGCCTTGAAAGGCGACTCTGCGTGAGTGCGGCGTTAAACAACAAACAATCAGGTGGTCAGACTCGCAGACTTGGTCGATGCTCGTGATATCAATCACTGGATTTTCTGGTCCAGACTCGATTATTTACAGACCGCCGTCATATAGCTGGAATATTGCTGGGTGCGGCGTTAAACAACAAACCAACCAACAAATATGTAATAAAAAATAGAAACAAACACATGAAAACAAAACTAGTGATATGTTTTCACAACAATGACTTCTGAAACATTTGCTATTGTGTTAAGGAACAAGTTAGTGAGAGTGAGTTGGGTTTAACGCCGCTTTTAACATTATTCCAGTTATATCACGGCGTGTCAGCTCAATGTGGGAGGAAAGCCCGAAGTGATGCAGGTTTCAGACATTTACCACTTTGGTGAAACCCACGAGCACGGGTATGGTGCTGACAAACCTAGGAACATAATCGGGGCGAACCGGGATTCGAACCCACAATCATAGGTCAAGGGACACAACTCTGCACAGCGAATCGCGGCGCCTTAGATGACTGGGCCACCCGTGCCCGCTTTAAGGAACAAGAAGTATTACGTCGACACAATCATAGTGGTATACATGATACATGTTTATTCTTCCCCGCCCTTAAGGCGGGGAAGTATACGGGAAACGTTAAATTTGTGGCATGTATGTCGACATGTTGGTTTATTTGAAATTTCAAGCCACGCATTTACGGAAACAAAACATACAAATCATGTGCGTCGAATATTGATGCTATTCTTTTCCAGCAATAAGAGATACTTCAAAATCGTCTTTATGTAGTTAATTGATGCATCTGACCGTTTCTGGTCATTAGCTGACATTATTAAACCATTCATGTGTAATCCGATGTCCTTTTTTCCTCAAGGACTAATTTTCTGATTTTCACGGTGTATACAAAAGAAGAACTGTGCTCCGGAGATCGTAAATAACAGCATAATAAAAAAAATATGTTCTGAATATGCTTATTCATGAACAACGACGACATCTCAATTTAAATGTAATATGGCTGAATTCCATATTCTACATACCACACTTTTGATTGTTTGGATGCTCATGTTCACTGGAAATATTTGGAATAGTTATATTCCGTATTTTGAATTAACCCAGTCCCCCGTGTGTGTTTTTTAATCAGTGCACCGCACATAACCACATGTGAAACGTTTGGTAGCAAAGTCAAACCGAAATCGGAGTAGTGTGTCAGCGAATTTGCATCAAGGCTGTAGTATTTTTCAACCGTTTAATGGAATTCAATGTACAGCCGTAGCTCTGGTCATTCATATATTTTGTGTCCCATAGCTCAAATCTATTTGCGTCTGTACCGTGTTCCACTGACCTCGATACTGTTGGATGAAGGCACAGCTCTCTACAGCCACAAAGTTAACACCGAAGGCTATGAGGAGTATTTAGGTCATAATCAGTCCCCAGCAGCCACTGCCTCAAGCGATATTGTCTACATAACAGATCAGTTTTATGGCTCCGTCACAGGTGCTCGAAATATTGAAGCAGGGAAAACAAATTTCATAGAATCATTTCAAAAAGCAATATTGATATCCCCGTCACTTTTGGTAACTTTTAATGATGTCTCCATTGCAATTTTTACGGATTTCGATTCGTATGCATTATTTGACTGTCATCAGCGGAATGGTCTTGGTCAGATTGATCCGAATGGACAAGCGGTTTTACTTCAGTTTAGTAGTATGGATGAATTGTCATGTTACATCTTAACAGTATATATATATATATCAGGCTACTATGCTTGTCGTAAGAGGCGTCGATCCCAATTGCGTGGATCGATGCTCATGATATTAGGCACTGGATTGTCTGGTCCAGACTCGATTATTTACAGACCGCCGTCATATAGCTGGGATATTGCTGAGTGCGGCGTTAAACGACAAACCAATCAATCATCATCACATGAACTCAAACCAGTCATTGTTACAAGTAAACCACATTCCACAACAGTTACTGACACTGGATAAAAGACAGTATATAGAAAAAAAATAAGTAACTCAACTCATCATGATCACAATTACTATTCTTTGAAAGAATTACACACAAAAACTGACCAAAAAACGTAAAACAAGGGACGAGGAATCTCCGTTATTGATTAGTCCCGGTATTGAAATGTTCTCCAACTACGTGATAATATTTTGAGTATGTGCATCTGTGGTTGTGACAAAAAGACCTTATCTAGTATGACTTTTTTTGCCTTATGGAGCCCTTAGTATTTTCATTTACATTATTATAACCAAATGCTAAGTGTAAAAAGAATGTGATCTATTTTTTGAGTATGTGCATCTGCCAATGTTGTTGGCAGTTTTGATACTATTTCCACATGTTTACATTTGTGCCAGAAATTGCTTCCATTTCCTTCGATCTACTTTTTAAATAAAGACCCAGGTAAGAATAGGTCTTCAGCAACCTATGCTTGCCGTAAGAGGCGACGAACAGGATTGGGTAGTCAGGCTCGCCGATTTGGTCGATGCATAACATCATATTCCAATTGCGTAGTTCGATGCTCTTGGTGTCAATCACTTGATGATCTGGTCCAGACTGGATTATTTACAGACATCCGTCATATGGCTGGAATAATGCTGAGTGCGGCGTTAAACAAGAAACTATTTTTAA